TCCCAGACTGTGGAACTCCCTCCCAAGAAAGACCAAGAAGGCCCCATCCCTGCTGGTCTTCCACAAGTAGATCAAGACCTTTTTCTGCCAACAGGCATTTGGGGAAGAATAAAAGGCATGCTGCTGGGGAAGTGTGGGTGGGATTCTGGAGGAGGGATGAGTTTTAAAGGCTATTTTAAGTGCATTTATTATATTTTAAACTGCTTTTTTACTTTAATCCTCACTGTTTTTATTTAATTGTTATTTATTATTTCTGTATTGCACTTTTTAAACTTTAAAGTGTGGGATTGTTAGCCACCTTGAGGCCCCATGGAGGGAAAGGAAGAATATAAATAAACTAAGAAGAAGAGGAGGAGGAGGAAGGACTGGAGGAAGTTGACCATAGAATCACACTGGAAAACCTAGAGATTCCTAGAAAGAATATTTTAATCAAATCCATGAATAATCAAATCTGTAAAAGTCAAGGCTGCAAGTGTGAAAGGACAAAAGTATTATCTGTTTAGTCTGGTTAATATTTGCAATTACATGTAATGTAACATAGGCACATTTTTGATAGGGCTCTAACATGGCTCTATAGTTACCGCCTTTCAAAAATATTTACATCATGGTGAAGCACCAACAATGATCACAACCATTATGCTGAACAAGGAAATTATGGCACAATCACCAACCACAATGAGCAATTGTCACAAGGTCTTGTGAAATCAATAGCACATCTTTCCCATGACTATATTTCATTATGTATGATTCGTTTTTCAACTCAGTGTCTTAACATAGCAGGAAACAGTCTTCTAGATGCCAATGCTTTGCAACTCTCATCACAGCTAACCACCAATTATTATAAAAGTTGCAATCCAATAATATCTGGAGGGCCCTGCCCTTTTTATAATTTAAAGAGATCTCATCCAAAACATGTATATGTATATGTATATACATGCTTTGGTTCTGTAGGTTTGTTCTTAAGCTGAATTTGTATGTAAGTTGGAACAGGTACATTTTTAAGTGCAATTCCTGTTTTGGATATCATAGGGCAGGGTTAACACCCCTGCAATGCTAGTTTTCCTGTCTGTGCCCCCTGTTCAGAAGATTTCATTTCACTTTCCAAGACAATTGGATTTTGAAAAATTTGGATTGTCATCGAAACAAGGATTGGTGATAAATCTTCCATGGAAACACCTCTTTCCATGCTAGCTCTTCCAGGAGTGAATTCCCCTTCTTAGAAATAGATTTCTCTCACTTCCTGTTGTCTCACTCCCATTTTAATTAGGAGTCATAGGTGAGTCAGATGTTTGTAGTTTGAGAACTGCCTGTACTCAAATAATTTTAGTAAACGGGGGGGGGGGGTATAAATAATATTGAACACCACGTTCTTTTTTTAACTTTAGTCTTTTATGTGTTTTGGACTTCAAATAGCAGAAGTAGCAGCTAACTTGACCAAGTTTAAGTATACCAGGAGCTTTAATCCAAAGTATCTGAAGAACCAAAATAAGGCTCTAGTTGAACTTTGACATGGTTTAAGGCATATCATGTAATTGTACTGTTTTGGTGTTGTTGGTGGTGTTTTGTATTATGTCACTTATTCTTTTTGGCATTGGATATTGTTGTTGCTGTGGGCATTCAAGTCATTCCTGGCCTCTGGTGATCCTAAGGCAGGCCTATCACCGGGTTTACATGCCAAGATTTCTTCAGAAGAAGTTTGCAATTGTCTTGAGGCTGAGAAAGTGTGACATGCCTAGGGTCATCCAATGGGATTCATAGCTGAATGGGGATTCAATGCCTGATCTCCAGAGTCATGGTCCAACACTCAAATCACTACACCAGGCTGGGTCTACTGGAGAGCAAATACAATTACAGGAAATGTTTACATTGCATTGGCTGTGATCCTTTGCAAATTTACCTAGGAGTGACTCTCACTGAACTCAGTAGAAGTTGCTTCTAAGTAAACATTTTTAGGGTGGTGTTAACTGAAATCAGCAGTACTATAGGTACACAAGTCAGTTAAGCCTCATTTTTTTAATTAGAGCAGAAGCAAATATTGTAATTTTACTTTTTCAAAGTAACTTATTCCCATTACAATTGCAAATATATTATAGTGTTTCAGTCTTATTCCAGTCCATAAACAGTCTATTACAGTGTTTGAAAAATAATCTGTTGCCTATTGTGATGTTGATTTCTTCTATTACTTTCTGTTACTTTTTTGAAAAAACAAACTCTGAGGGTTTATGATGGAAAACATGAAAACTTTGGGTTGTTGTAGGTTTTTTCGGGCTATATGGCCATGGTCTAGAGCCATTCTCTCTGAGAGAATGCCTCTAGACCATGGCCATATAGCCTGAAAAAACCTACAACAACCCAGTGATTCTGGCCACGAAAGCCTTTGACAATACATGAAAACTTTCTTCCCAAATGCCTGTAACATGATTTCAAAAGTGACTTGTGAAAGTAACTACAAAGTATTACTCGATGTACCAATCAAGTACTTTCCTCTTGTTCAGCATGTTACTTTTGACATGTAATTTTGCTGTGCCCTATTGAGTTAAAAGTATTTCCAAGTTCTGGAATGACCCCCATCCCATTTTGCAATCAGTACTTCTGGATTCACAATGTGTGAGTCTTCTACATCAGGCATGTAGCCGGGGGGGGGGTGGCTTGAGGGGCTTCAGCCCCCCCCCCCCGAAATTCTCATGGTGGTTCTCGAAAAGGCCTTACTGGTGCATTATTTAAACTGTTATGTTTATTCATATCATGATCTGATCACCATACTCAATATATCCCATATGTATGGGGGTATTGGGGTAATGATACAAAAGGTTTGCTAGGCTAGACCCTCTTTCACTCAGACTCAGCCCCCCCCCCGAAACTCAGCCCCCCCCGAAACCCCCCCTGAAAATTTTTTAGCCCCCCCCCCCCCGAAACGAAATCCTGGCTACGGGCCTGATTTACATCTTTTTGTTTTTCAATGGTTCTGAAAACTATGCTTGCATAATGGCATCATATTCAATGGGCATACATCAATATTGAAATGAACTGCTGTACATTTGAATAGCGCCTATTGTTTCCCTAGACACAAGAAGACATCAGGGCCAGCAGATGGGTTTTCATTGTTTTTAATAGAACTCTGACACTATTCAAAAGGTAAGTATTGAGCACATACATTTGGATGGTATGAGCCCCTGGTGATGCAGTGGATTAAACCCTTTGCCAGCAGGTCTGAAGAGGTCGGAGGTTCAAATCCAGGAAGAACACAGATGAGCTCTCTCTGTCAGCTCCAGCTCCCTATGTGGGGACATAAGAGAAGCCTCCCACAAGGTAAAACATCAAAACATCCAGGTGTCCCGTAGGCAACGTCCTTGCAGATGCCCAATTCTCTCACACCAGAAGCAACTTGCAGTTTCTCAAGTCACTCCTGACATGAAAAAAAATTGGATGTTCCCCTGCCCCTTTCTATATATAGAAACTATACCTGGAACATTACATTAAACACCATCAATGGGACAGGATTCCCCACTACATGTGAGGGCAACTGGCCAATGTAGTACATGCAGGATATGTTTTGTGTTTGAATGGAGCTCACAAGCTCTTCTGTTCTCAATTCTACTCTGTTATTTCAAGTTTTCATTATTATAATTTCAAGTGAGGAAAACGTTAGTGTGGCTAATAGTTCACCTACAATCAAAAATCCTTGCAGATTTATCAAAAATCACCTAATGAGCCATCAGAAGATGTAGAGCCATCTACATCTAATATAACGTAGATCTAATGTAGATCCATCTACATCAGTGGTTCTCAACCTTCCTAATGCCACAACCCCTTAATACCGTTCCTCATGTTGTGGTGACCCCCAACCATAACATTATTTTTGTTGCTACTTCATAAATGTAATTTTGCTATTGTTATTAATTGTAATGTAAATATCTGATATGCAGGATGTATTTTCATTCACTGAACCAAATTTTGCACAAATACTCGATACACGCAAATTTGAATACTGATGGGGTTGGGGGTATCTATTTTTGTTATTTGGGAGTTGTAGTTGATGGGCTTTATAGTTCACCTACAATCAAAAAGCATTCTGAACTCCACCAATGATGGAATTGAACCAAACTTGGCACACACAACTCCCAACAGAAAATACTGGAAGGGTTTGGTGGGCACTGACCTTGAGTTTTAGAGTTATAGTTCACCTCCATCCAGAGAGCACTGTGGACTCAATGATGGATCTGGACCAAACTGGGCATGAATACTCAATATGCCCCAATTTGAACACTGATGGAGTTTGGGGAAAATAGACTTGACATTTGGGAATTGCAGTTGCTGGGATTTATAGTTCACCTACAATCAAAGAGATTGTGAACCCCACCAATGATAGAATTGGGCCAAACTTCCCACACAGAACCCCCATGGGTCCCAACCGCCAGGTTGAGAAACACTGATCTATATTTAATGCAAAACCTAATACATGGTCTTGGGTTCTGCTTTATGAAGGGCTGTCAGAGAACAGGATGTTGTTTGCAAGAATCCAACCTGAAATGGCTGTCCAATTGAAGCCTGGTTTTAAAATAAAGAACCATAAGATGGGCAACAGGAACCTTGAATTTGCTCTTGTGTCAGGTCCTGGACAAACAATTGAAGAAGCACAAACTTCTGCAGTGCTTGAGAAATGCACTTGTTTTGGCCTACAGTTCCAGGAAACTCTCAGCTGACATGACCAGCAGAATATAGCAGATTTCATAGAGACTGACATGCAGTGGCTATGTAAGAGAGGTAATGACTAAAGAATCATTTGAACTTTAGGATGTGTCAAAACCATGTCTTAGCCATCCTCCTTTGTAGAATTTCACAAGCTTGGATTGTAGACATGTATGCAAGTGTGTGATTGACACAGAGAGAAAAGAGAGGAAGGTGGAGCAATTAATTCAGCCGTAGAGTTCTGGGTGTGGTTACAGTCAGGTAAACTTGAAATAGTAAAAAAGATTTCCTGCACCCAATGCTTCCTTGGGTATTGTTGCTGGTTGCACAGGGTTGAAAAGAATCCAAAGTTTTGAAAAACATAGTTATTCTGGCTAAACATATGGCTGCGCCAGAAGTTAACAACATTGCTTCTAATAGCTACAGGAACCCTGCATTTGAGGTAAGGCTAAGCTTTTTCCTCTTTTTATGGAAGGTGAAAATTTCTCAGAAACTTTTTTTAAGGTTGTCTTTTTCTGGTAGAAATTATTTTGGCAATCATTGAAAGGCCTATCAAGTGCCACTCTGTCAACACAAAATTCAATCAAATACAGGAAATAGCTGGGGCCATGTGAACAGAGGATGTGTGCACTGGTTTTATTTTGTAAATGTATAGTATCACTCTTGTAGACCAGCCTTTGCTTTGCTTTGAGTTCTGTGTCAGGCGACATTACACTTAAAAATATTACAAGCACTTTGTTCACTGTCACTGTTTCATTAGAGAAAATAGTCTATTGTAGCTTCTGCTACAATTTTCTTTCTCTCAGTTATAGTCTCAAAGATATTACATGATCCCTTGGTATACAGTTTCAGCTGTATACAAAGACCTCAGACTAAAAGTGGATTGTTGTGGCTGTGAATATAATGTTGATGGCATGCCTACCTCAGTTAGGAAACCTTTGTAGGAATCCTGTTTTACAAACCCTTCATGTTTGGAAGATCCTGCTTTGTCGTGCTTTTTATGTATGCAGTAAAAGGACAGAAAACAGTTATACCACCTGCACTGTTAATAACTCTTAGTGGAGCTTTACCCAGTACCTGGAATGATGAGAAGCAGCAGCTAATGCAGAAGTAAAACAGATCCATTCCTGCAAGAGTTTTCCTTTCTCTAAGGACCTCATAACATGGAGGTCCTTAACCCGGGGGACAGCGAGCACATCTGTGAGGCAGTGTGGCAAATCCATTGGGGTGGCAAATCTATCAGGCACCACCCAACATCGCCTGCTTACCATCCCACACTGTTATCCATTTAGCCCCGGCTTGCATCCAAGCTGTCTTCGGCTTGTCCTATGACAGCACAGGTAGTTGTCAGGATTGGCACTTAGCACACTGCCAAGATGCAGTGTGCATGGAGCCAGCATGAAGCCATGCTGGAAGGAGCCCTGAATTATTTGATGGGCTCCAGAGGGCTCCGTCCTGGCTGTGCCTCGGCAGTGTCCTAGGATGGAGCTGAAAGCCCATGTGATGAGGTTGCAAACCCCACGTAGGAATGAAAAGAATCTGGCTGTTTTTCTATTCAACCATTTCGCAACAAATAAAAATAGTGAGACCTATCATCCAAATGGACAGTAGCAATCATTCACAAGATGACAAAGTTCACAAGCCATTAAAAGCTTTGGTGCACACATATAGCCCTATTCTCTGACAAATTATATGCAAAATAAGTCACTTCAAATTCCAGAAGTATTTTTGGCTGCAGTGGGGGTGAAATCACATTCAAGATTTGGGAATAACAAAAATAGGATTAACAATTTCCTTTCATACTGAGTTCCCAAAACATGTCACCTGGAAGTAAAGCTTTCATTGCCTCCATCAGTCCTCACTTTCTTTATTAGTGTGGGGGAGAAAGTACACACAGAAGTGCAGAGGAGGAGATGAAGGCACATCTAGTCCTACCTTCATGGAGAATCTTGGAATGCTAGCCATGTTTAAATATTTGCAAAGATGTCATATTGAAGATAGAGCATGCTTGTTTTCTGCTTGGCTGGTTCTACACAGACACTTCCCACCTCATTGCATTTACCTTGGGAAACGTCCTACAACATTTCCACTCCAGCTGGAGGACAGATGGACTTGCTGCTCATCAGATAGCACATGTGAGCGTCATGTGGAAGGTCCTTCTCCAACTGGAGAGAAACGTTACATGACTTCTCTCTCAACATGTGAGACCTCCATGAAGGGTGATACTTTGGACAGCATTGCCAAGAGGGTGCTGCGTACAAGGCAACAGATTTGCTGCTCCCTCTTTCCTCTATTGTTAAATCCAAAAGAGATAACTAAAGGGAAGATAAGAGATCTGACACCTATTCCTCTTTGCCATTGATCAAACCTACAATCTTGCATAGCTACCTGAAAGTTTAAAAAAAGTATTTAGACTCTCCAATATCTGATGTGATTGGGTCCCAAATTGCATACCTCAGTTCTCAGAGGTAAATAGCTTAATGATTGAAACTAAACAGTGTATCACTCATTACTCAAGTAAATCTTTTCCAGTTAATTCTTTCTTGGAAGTAAATAAGGTAAGCCATTAACATCTAGCTTCTTCTGAATGTTCAAAAAGTTCACAGCAGTATTTATTATGGGTTTTTTAATACTTTATTTATAAGCTGCTGATAAGGGACCCAGGGCAGCTCACAACGATTAAACCAATCACAATTGTTTTTTAAAACCTTTTAAATAAACTGTGAGATAAACCACACTGATGGCACAGTGCTTCTACAATCAGACATCTTTCTCTATTTGAGGGAGGACTTCTAAATATATCCTATGTATGACACTGAGGCAGAGATGCAGGGTGACATTGTCTCAATGCGTTCTAATAGCACAAGTTCAGCATACAGTATTGTAATTCTTGTTTTTGGTTACCACATAATTTTTTACCAAACATGCCAACAATGAAAACCTGGACTTACAGAGGTCAGGAAACCTTTTCAACCACGCAACAATCACATGCAGCTAGAATCATATATTTCAAGAGTTGGAAAAATACCAAAGGACAGCTAGTCCAACCCCCTTCAGCCATGCAAGAATTCACAATCAAAGCCCTCCTGTCAGATGGACATTCAATCTCTGTTTTAAAACCTCCAAGTAAAGAGATTCCACCATACTCCCAGGCAGCATATTCTTCTGTTGAATAGTTATTACCATCAGGAAATTCTAATATTTAGGTGAAGTCTCTTTTCCTGCAGTTTCATCTGTTGCTCTGTGTCCTTGTCCCTAGAGCAACAGAAAGCAAGCCTGCTCCAGCTTCAATATGACATCCTTTCAAATATTTAAACATAGCTGTCACATCTATTTTTAACCTTCTCTGATCCAGACTGAACATATCCAACTCCCTAAGCTACTCTTCGTATGGATTAAACCAATCATAATGGTTCCAGACCTTTAATCATTTTGCTCTCCTCTGGACATACAACCTGTCACATTGCCTTTTTAGGTTGCGCCATTTTGCCAGTGCAGCTCGTGGTCCCCCCGCGTTCCTCATCCCTTCATCACATGGTAGGAGTGAGAAAGGGTCCCTTCCCTCATCAGAGGGCAGAAAGGGTGGCAGCACACATTTCCCCGGTGCTTTTTCTGCCATCACATAGGGATTTGGGGAGGAAAGTGTGGATAGCTGTGGCAGAGCTACCCAAACAACACTTTCCTCCCCATGGTGGAGGACAAAGCACCTTTCCGCACTTCTCCTCCACTTTGAGAAGAAAGTGAGTGGGGCCTGCCATGGGTGGGACCTGAGTCTCGCAGGGAGAGAGGGAGAGATAGAAATAAAGTTTATTATTATTATTATTATTATTATTATTATTATTATTATTATTATCATCATCATCATCATCATCATTATTACCATTGTGTGATGGAGTGCAGCAGGCCCTGTTCAAGCCCACTAAATAAAGCAGTAAAACAGGGCATTTTTGTCCCATGTGAAGAGGTCCCTAGTCTAGCAGGAGCTTCTTCTGTATCATTGGAAAGCAGGGGTGAATCAGCAGATACATCCAACTGTTTTCCTTTGGGTTCCTGTGAATGCCCATTGTAATAGGGCAAGCTAAAGGAATGCTCTTCAGCAACATGAAAATAGTCATGCTGTGAGACAAAGCTGCATCCCATAAAAGGTAGTTTAGGAGGTAACACCAGGAAGCATAGCTACATGCCTGACATTAATCTCCTCTTGCATCAATGTTAAGGTATTTTAAAGCTTCTGATTTTCAAGTTGCTGGTTTATTAAAGCTTCCGATTTTCAGAATAATCTCCAGAACTGCTCACAACTTGTTATTTTCTGAGAAGCAGTTTTTTAACTCAGCAAAACTTTTATGGGTTGGGTGATGAAGAACAAATTTCATCCTTTCTCTTCCTCCTACCAGCTATTTCCTGCTAAACAGCTAGACTCTGGAGAAGGAGCTGAAGATGAGGAGAGAGGAAGAAAGGGGAAATAATAGGTTCAGCAGAGCATTCGTTAAGATTGCAAGAGGAAATGTCACTTTTCAGTCAGTTTCGGATGATGTGCAATTGCACCTTCCTTTTCAAACAGATCTTATGCTGGAAATTAGCAAATAATTGTGTCTGCCTGGAGGCTGAGCTTTAAGCTCGTACTTGCATGTTTGCCTCAAAGCTAGCTGCTTAAGTCCTTTGTTTTTCCATCCCTTGTTGATGTAGACCTGCATTCCTTGCAAAGGAATGAAAGTAGCACTCAGAATGCAGATTCACTTTGAGTCAGCTGTAGGGCAGGGCTGTGCTTAGATGGATTTTTTCAGTCTTTTGGTAGGGTTACAGACTCTCTGTTGCACAACTGAGATAGATAAAAGCTGAGGGAAAGAGGTGTATTTTCACAATTTGAGTGTTTTTTTAAACCTGTGGAAAAGATTGAGTGAGTTTCATTTCTCATGTTTGTATTTCTACAAGGAGCCCAAAGCAGCTGGCACTATCTGTTTCGACCTGCCTGTGAAGCACTGTTTTGGCCTACTGGGTGACCAGCTGCACACCACACAGAGAAATAAAGAGACAATGCATCTTCCCCTTAAATATGCAGGCGTGTGCATGAAATGAACATACATTAACATATGTTTACAGATCCAAATATGGGGAAATTGTTATCATTGAAACTGAAGATATATCTCACCATAAATGGCAGTTGTGTCCTCATCTTCCTTGCTTTATCTTTAAACTGGACATAGAGAAAAGTAGGATGTTCCTTCAGATATGGTTAGCAGAACAGACTGGTTTTCTTCTGTTGGTCCCCTTACAATTTACACATCCTAACTGAAATTATTATGAGCTACCTGTGCTCTGAATGGAGTCAGGTGGGAAATTCTTCATTACTTTTGGAGGTCTTAAAAACTTACACGTATACTAGCATGCTCTTTTTCATTGGCTAAATTAACGTATTACCATAATATGGATTTTGGAGTTTGGAAATTTTACCAGATCCCATCTGATCTTGAAAGCTAAGCAGGGTCAGCTCTGGCTAGCAGATGGGAAAAAAGGAAATCTTGTTTCATAAACTGTATAATTGCTTGCCAATCTGTTGTCTTTTTTTCTGTGAATCATGGTTAATTACTTGTGTTAATAGATCCATTTTCATTAGCTCTGTCATGTTTAGTATTCATTGTTCCATTGTTAGTAATTTTTTTATTTCCATTTTTGTGTGTATGTTATTCTAGCCACTGTTATTAAATAGTAGAATAATTTGGCTTTTTTCCATTTCAAAGTCTGTCATTCCGAGTAAGAAAGACTCGGGTTTAGATTGGAAATGTATACCTAATTTTTTTTGGATTTTTTCATAAATTTCCTTACAATATATTTTTGCTTTTTTGCATGTCTGCCACATGTGATAGAAAGTCCCAATATTCTCTTTGCACTTCCAACATTTGTCTGTAGTGTTTTGGTAATATTTTGAGAGTTTTTTGGGGTGTTAAATACCATTGGTATCAATGGTATAAATGGTATTTATTTTCAAAAATTCAACCCAAGAAAGAGCCAATCCTATTGAGAAGGATCACCTCCCGTCAACTAATTTTGCCCACCACTAACTCATCCCCACAATGCCGCAGCAAAACAATGCTTCCTGGAGGGCTGGCCATATGCCTAAAAGTCTGTATTTTCTGTAATGCGGTTTAAAGCCCAAAGAAACATATTGTAAATAAACTGTTGCAAATGTCATGTGTCCAGTTCAGACCCCTTACAAGGTGTTGCAAATTATTTGGTCCATGTAGATCAGGGACACTCAAACTGTGGCCTTCCAGCTGTTTGGACCTCCAACTTCCAGACATCTTGACCACTGAACACACTGGCTAGGGCTGCTGGGAGCTGGAGGCCCAAATAGCTGGAGGGTTGCATTTTTGAGGCTGTTGGATGTAGATGAACTCCTAAAGACCTTTGTGAAAAACATTATTAGGTATAGTTAATACTCATTCTTGTAAAGTGCTGTCAATATGCTGCTTATCTCATCTTCCTTTTTTTTTTTGTTTTTTTGGTCTTTTAGGGGGATATTGAAAAAGACAGTCCAAATGAGAAAAATGATATTGCATTTAGAAACAGAAACTTGGAAAATGGCAATTCTCTACATCCTGAAGAAGTAAGATTTTTTTCCTACTAGATTACTACAAACAGTGGTACATCTAAACCAAAATCGAACTAACTGTTCAATTTAAAACTTGGAAAAGTTACTTTTTGAACTATGGCTCAGAATATCCTGAGGCCAGCATAAGAGTTGATGAAAAAAGTGCTCTGATCAAAATATATATTTGGATTATACAGTAGAGTCTTGCTTATCCAATATAAATGGGTCGGCAGAACATTGAATAAGCGAACATGTTGGATAATAAGGAGGGATTAAGAAAAAGCCTATAAAATGTCAAATTATGTTACGATTTCACAAATTAAGCACCCAAGCAGCATGTTTTACAACAAATCGACAGAAAAAGCAGTTCAATAGATAGTAACGTTATGTAGTAATTACTTATTTACAAATTTAGCACCAAAACATCACAATGTATTGAAATAGCTGTGGATACAGGCGGGAGGCAGACTGCGTTGAATAATACAAAATGTTGGATAAGCGAAGGTTGTCTAACTGAGACTCTATTATAACTCCAACCAGCATAGAAATGGTAAAATGTGATGGGAATTGTAGTCCACCAAAACCTGTATGGTGACAATGTTCCTAGTACTGTTCAGTGTTCACTGTGTGATTGCATCTGTTTTGTTAAAGAAAATATATAAATGATATTATGGTGACGAGTAGGCAAATATGGCCATCTGTCAACATGTCCCCCAGTAAGCTTCTGGGGACGTCAGCACTTGTGGATAATCACCAGTTTAAAGATATCTTTGACTGGTGTTGGCATTTTGCCAGGCAAGGAAAAAAGCGGAGGTTTTTCATGAAAACCCAGTTTCTGCCGGTAATGTCCTGCCAAGACATTGTTTTTGTCTCAGCAAGCAAAAGAGGTAGGGGAAGAAAAAACTCCTGCTCCAGCATGGCAGCTGTAACTCACAGCAAAAGGAATGTCTAATTGCCATCTTCAAAGAAGATTTTTCAGGACTGTATCCTGTGATTCACTTCTGGATATTGGACAATTAATAATCCCACCAGCATTCAACTTTTGCTCCTGAAGACACGAGTTATCTAAATCTCTTATCTGAAACTAAATGGAATGCAACTAGAAACAGCTGTCATCAACTCCCCCAAAGCTAGTATTTTAAGAAATGCCAAGGTTAACAAATTATTTCGACTGTGACACCTAGAAGTATACATAACCATCAAAGGTTAAAGTTTTTTTTCCCTCAAAACCATAAGAAATTACTTTTCCCAGGGCGAAGAAACAGGAAATAGATATTTGAACTGTAACACCTCCTTTTGGGGGTAAACCAGTAGTTCACAGCAGCAGCAGCAACAACAAAAACTGAAGAAAGATAGAAAATGTATTGTATGACTATGACTATGAAAGGCACAATGGCCAATTACTTGGCACCAGTAGGATGGGAAAAGAAGTAACACCAGCAATGAAACTTTACCACTGCTCCCTGCCCTAAAGATATAGTGTTCTAATCGACATCGCCCTTCTAATCCTAACTACAGTATCATCTGGCTCTTGCACTTTTTCCACCTGCCCTGTCCTATAATCACAACTTTTTTGCACAAGCCCCTCCCACCCAAGTCTAGTAGTTGATTACTATGTCAGTCGGTTTGTTTGATGGTGTTATTTTATGTTGCTTTTATGTTGTGCTATGATGTTGTTTTTAATTAATTTTATTTTGCTATATTTTAATTCTATGTTTAACTGGGCTTGTCCCCATGTAAGCTGCCTTGGGGAGATGGTGGTGGGATACAAAAATAAAGTTGTTGTTGTTGTTGTTGTTGTTGTTGTTGTTGTTGTTGTTAATAATAATAATAATAATAATAATAATAATAATAATACATAATTCTCTGGCAAAGCTGACTGGGGATCCAATTCAGACAAGCTAGAATTTGGTGAAATTGAAATTCAAAATCCAACAGGAAATAGTAAGATTGGGGGGGGGGGGGATTTCCCTGGAAGCTATACGTAAAGTCTTCAAAAAGGGGATGATAAGAGGCTTGAAGCCAAACAGAAAAATCTGCATATACAAGCAGTGAGAACTTCATAAGAGGGCAGATTTGTGATTGGGCTGTGCTGCGGAAGCATTAGCATGAGAACATCCATAATATACAATGAGAGAGAAGTGAAGAAGAGGATGATGATCTCCTGCTTCTGAATGGAAAATTGAATGGAAAAGAGATGTCTAGAGTTTAAGATAACAACTAACAAAGATTTGCAAAATAATTATGATCAACAAATTGATTAGGTTAATGGAGGAGAAGTATTTGTCTAACTTTAATAGCGATTGGGGATTTATTGATTAATATGAAGTTGGGGATTGACTAATTGTGGGATTTATAAGTTAGTGATATGTTCCTAAATATAGAAGTGTGATTAGACAATATTTCTTAAAGGAAGCAGACAAGTCACAGCTAAAAAAAACCATCAGAGAGTGCGAGATCAGTAGATTAGTTTTTATCTTTCTTAGTTAGATTTGCTTTAGTGTATAATATGTTTGGTGTATTTGTTTAAGTAGTTTTGTCAGTTTTATATTAAGAAAAATGTTTGGTTTTGTGTGGAGAATATTGTCATTTTGTTTGCTGCAATTCGTTTCTTTGCATATGTTTTTGTATAATGGTAGGTTTGTTTCTTTGAATAAAAATTAATTAAAATTAATTAAAATGCATATATATATATATATATATATATATATATGCATAGGGAGGGAGGTACTTCCCCTCAGCCCCATGGCACTTATAATTTATGTGAGAAAGAAGCTGAAATTCAAAACTTTAGTCCTGGCTTGCTTATTTTTTAAAAGTTTAGGAAGTAAGCTTTTCAGGACTGTGACATGGGGGGGGGGGGGCTGTAAACATTTGGTTGTACTATGTGTCCTGATTTAAATTGGATCCCCCACATTGCTGAAATCTGGGAAGAAGAAAAATCAAAGTTTCCTTAGCTAACGATATGAATAACATAGAAGTTCACTCACTCGCTTATCCACAGCTTATTACAATGTTCGTAATGTGACATTTTCAGTACAGTTCCTCAATTCTCCCAATAACTGATCTTAGCTATTATTAAGAGTATCTGGTTATGAGATGATGGTGACACTGGTGGTGGGAAAACAATTGACATGAGGCTGCTTGAGGTTTGTTTGCAAATAAAAACCTTGCTTTCCTTATAACTGGTCAAAAACGTGTGATGCAAAAACAAGAGATGCAAATCACATCATCATGGGGTTTCCCCCCCTTTCTTTCCACAGCATGATGCAAACATCAATATTGAGATGGATGACCAAGTGAGTAAACATGAATCACATTCAAAATCTGTCTTCCAAAGGTAATCATTTCATTTTGGATTCTCCACCTACCAATTTTCCTCTTTATGTGAAGTCCCAAAGGCCACTGATTTACTATCAGGGTGGATGTAGTCATGTTCCAGATGCCCTTTTACATCTGGGAAATTTGGAGCAGGCTCTGGCTCCAGTGTAAGGTGACAGCTATTTCCCTAGGCATTCAAGGGTAGCTGAAATAGAGCAGGATATGTTTTTGGAGCCAAGCATTGGCCCCAGAATGGAGCTGCAAGAACTATCTCCCTCCATGTTTCAGCTCAGGAGGAGTCTCCACAGCAACCTGCCTCTTCTCCAAAACGCTGTTGCATTCTTTAGATGCAAAATGGAGCCCATAGAAGCCACCATTCTTTGAAAGGAGTCCTTTTTTAACGTTTTAAAGCCTGAGAGGGGGCAGGGGCTGGTTAGTTGTCTAGCTGTCCCCTTGCCAAGAAGCCCCCTGCATGAGAAGCAAAAGAATAGGGAACTGGATGTTAAGCTCCGGTTCCCTGCACATTTTCTGCTGTGTAGAAGGGCCCTTAGAACAGCCCTGTATGGTTGAATTGACTACAGTATTTTTGTACAACTTGCAGTTATAGTATTTTGATTCTACTTTCACTATAATGACCTCATCCCATGAAAAGTGTAGGATTTGTAGTTTTCTAAGGTATTTCAAACTCTCTGCCAAGAGCACCAGTGACTCATCAAACTACATTTCCAAGGATTCCATAGCATGCAGCTATGACAATTTAAATAGGATCATGGTATATAATGATGTAGCAATGTCTCATGGGCTGCCTCCTTCCCATTACTTTCAGTTGCCATTCTGGTGGTCATTGAGTAGGAGGGAGGCAGCCAGCAAGACACACAGTGCCTTTGTGGCTGAAGAGCAGGATAAACATTCTCTAAATAAGTAAATGAATGAATGAATGAATGAAGACACAGTGTGAAACAGACTATAGTTGTTCTAATGTTATCACTTTACCTCAAGCCACTCATTTGGTGGCTTGCTATAAGTAGATTCTGCATGCTATAAGTAGATTGACGTCTCATTGACCTAGGCTATAAACCTCTAAACTGTTTTCAGGTGAAAAACCTATAGAACTCCATGGGACTTACGTTTGGGTAGACATGCCTAGCATTCAATTGTTAACAGGAGAAATTGAACTGTGTGCTTCCATTTAAAGCAATGGTATCCCAGCAAGGGTCTAATTTTGACTGCATGATTTCTATTATGTTTTTAATGGTTTACCAGATAAGTATGAGAAGTCTAAAATACCCACATTACCAGTGTGCAAATTGTTACAATCATTATATTGATTACAACAACATTTGTCAACATTTCATATATTGATGTTTGAGAATTATTATTTATTCACAGCCCTACACCATTTTTTCAATTATTATTCCAGGTATCTTGAAAAGAAATATGATATGGCCCTTCACTTTTTCAAGAAACATAAAACCATAATTCGACGAGTGGTTTATGGAATATTGGCCGCAGGTATTTATTTGAAGTTTGGGTAAAATGAAATGTCTTCCTTTTATGTACAACTTAGGTTTAGAAGCTTCTAACCTAAGTTGTACATTCCTTTATGAAGGAATTGTGTTGTTTGTTTCCTATTCACGTTCAAATCCATGTCAAGCTGCTGGTACTTACCTTCAGAGCCTTGAAAAGCTTGAGATCAAAATGCTATAAATACCATTTATGGGATTTCCATAACAACCGCCTACATTTTGGGTGCTGATTCCAGCCTGCAATATTAGTTACATAGAATCACCCTTTGACAAAGTTGGAATCATGTAGCGTTCCAGTTATTGAGGGAATGCAACTCCCAATATTCCTCATTACTGACTATGCTGGCTGGGACTGATGGAGTTTGCAGTCAGGGTTACATGTTTCCCACCCTTCTATCAAATCCATTGTAGGAAAATGTAATGTTTTGTATGACCCACTTGCCAATTGGAAGTCATTCTATGTCTGTATATTCTGACAGTTACTTCCTAATCTGAACAATCCCTTTATGTGGCACTCCCATTCTTTTACAGTAATCTTTTTGCTGGAGTTCCTCGGCATATTTCTTCTGTGATCTTTTTATTTTATGTGGATCATATATTTGTCCTCCTGTTGATTATAAAGTATCCATACTTTCATCTTACATTTCTCACTAATTTCTCAGATCTTGTGGAAGAGGTCTCTTGTTCTACCTTTTCTGCTATCTTCTTCAGTTTGATTACAGCAATGGTGGCAATAGTTTTCTTTCTCTTTACACACAAATCACCACAGACCTCCATTGAGGGACTTCTAGGTCGAATTGGCACCAAATGGTCATGGCCCTTTGCAGATCTGATGAGTAACAGGCAGTCGATTTGGCAATTGTGATTTTGAGGAGTCACAAATCAGCATAAACTGCCTCCTTGGCATGGGATTCCACGCAGGAGTCCCATTCCTGGTGCTCAGGTGGTCCAAATCACTAGGAAAGAGCCACCAGATCCCACCACATTTCAGCCACTGGAGATGGTATTAGCATCACACTTCAAGCATTCTTAGACTCCTTTCTTAGAATATTTTACTCAAGATGCCACATTTGTTTCAAACAATTCTAATGGAATACCAGTTGAGCAATGCTCCCCCCCCCCCCCAACAAAGCTCCAATTTTGTTTGACAACACTCCTAGATTTAGATTCAAAGTATCACAAAACTTCAAAACTTGAAACTGTATCTCTCAGTTTGCTATTACATTTAGATAAAAAACTGAATTATTTGCAGGCGGGGGGAGGGGCAGTATTGCTACATGGATCAGACTTATTTCAGCTGAAACCAGGACTCTTCTTATTGGGGATTGATGGATAAACACATGAAAGCGAAATGTGGAAGAATTTCCCTACATGTGAATACAGGTGAATACAGGTCTTAGAATGCTGTATGCAGAGAGGTGAAAAGATATAGTGATCCCATCGCAAGAAGATGGGCTGATGAAACTGTCTGATTTAACTGAGATAGAATAATGATCTTGATTAGAGAAAAATAATAAAGTTGTTTTTTAAAAGATTGGAAAATAATAATAGCATTTCTGCGAGGAAATGGTACACAGCATTCCAGATGAGGTCGGACCAAAGCAGAATTGAGTGAGGTTATTACTTCTCATGATTTAATTCCCAAACTTTTTTTGGTTATGAAACCTATCAGAAGACTTTTGTCCTCTGCGGAACCCTAACTCTGTTCCTAAGCATTGTGAACCTTCAAAGATCTTCCTTTTTCATCTACTCCTATTGCTTGAGTGTTGTTGTTATTATTATTGTTGTTGTTATTATTATTATTATTATTATTATTATTATTATTATTTCGGACATTTGTATCTTGTCCTATCTCAACCTCTGCAGAGGGACTCAGGTTTTGTATAATGTGGTTGGTTTGGAAATAAAGAGAAAACATTTTAAATATAACTACACACCTTTAGTTTGGTACAGGGAAATATTGGATTTGCACCTAAAGTGATGAATGAAAATGCTTCATTTTGTACTCGAGTTCACCTCCAATATTTCGTAATGAAATGGAAGAGGGATAAGTCATCAAAAGTCTTTGCTGTGGCTCCTGGTACCAAAATTCCTCTAAGAGAGGTCACCTAGGTGCTAAGAGAAAGAGAAAAATAAGATCAATATAAAGGGACCTTCCTGGCTTTGCAGCTCATGTGGATGCCCTGATGTCAAGTGCCATGCATAGAACATTACAAGACCTCCAAAGAAAGAGAGGTTTTCTGATGCCTAAAGGAAAAGAACCTAAGCAGTCAGGGCTTGAGTGGAATGCAAGTAACTAATAATACTTCTTATCTATGTACTGGTACTTCTCCTTTTGGTTGCATTTGACTTCTGCATTCATACATACATTTTTATTTGTTTTGGATAATAAAGGGTGTGCCAAGTTAATTCTAGATCCATCAAGCCATGTAGGAGCCTTTGAGGTACAAACATGCATACATACACATGTATAAATTCGCTCTTTTGTTTCCAAAATCCAGATGTGGCATTGGTAATTCCAGGACATTTCAGGTTTTCTTTCCTTTTTTTCAAAAGTCTTTTTGTTCCTACCAGGAGAGCAAGTTGAGGTTTTTATTTTTAAAAAAATACTTTCTAGACTACCAGCCTTTCTTCTTTCTCCCCCCTTTCTCCTTTCCCCACATGTTTTAAGTTGGTTCTATAGAGTAACAGTCCCAAATTGTGTTCCACAGAACCCAAGGGTTCCACAAAAAGACTTGTAAAAAATGCTTGTAAAAATGCTTGTACTAGAGTAGGAAGATCTTACTGAAACTCAATGTACCTCTACTTTAAAAATGAAACTCTCATCTCTTTATTTCCAAAGCTACTATGGTATGCAAAACACACAGGCAATAGGAGTAGCTGAAAGAAGAAAGAACTGTGCAGGTTCACAATGCTTAGGGGCAAACGTATGGTTCTGTGGAAAAATCAGAAACAAATTTAGAGTTCTGTGGAGCAAAAAAATCCTCTGAAGGGGTCCATGACCAAAAAGGTTTGGGAGTCACTATCTGAACTCTCATAATTTAGGTAATTTTTTGTCCATTGTTGTAATTATTGTTTCTTACTTCCAAGAATGGGGAGAGCCAATCATAGGATCAGATTATTTGCAAAAATCTGGCTTTGGTCTGCTTTGAAAAGAAAAAAAATCTCCAAAAACATTTCTCCAAATAAATTGTTCAATTTTGTAATCAGTTCTTTTGTTCTCTGAAGGACCTAGGGACCAGTATGTAAGAGGAAAAAAATGGTCTTTTATTCTATTTATCAAAGAGATTATCCTCCCTATAATATCCCATAGAATGGAGTGAACCAAAAAATATATCTGTTTTCCCCATCATGAGAGCCCCTGATTGAAAGCCCATTCTCTCTAGAATGGTCAAATAGTACAAACAGAATCAATACTGATTTTATTAGTTCATGGTTGTAATTTCCTTTCATTAGCCTCTTTGTTTCTTTTTGTGCTTTTGCATGATCAGCCGGACTGGTTATGTTGGAACGACTGGCCCTGCCTGGACTGTGGCCCTAGTAGTGGTCTCAATGGAACTAGCCCAGAAATTGGCCAGGTATCAAAGGGATGATTCCTTGTAACTGGCAGTGTTTGACTTCACCTGTAATCATGAAATTATCCCTGCTAGCATTAAGTCAACATTCATTATATTTGTTCAGGGTGGATTGATTTAAATAGTGATATAAATTTTGCAAGAAAAAATATTTGTACCCCCATTGTTGATTTAAATCAAGTTTCCTAAGTATACTTTCCCTTATTTATTTGCTTGTTTATTTATCTATTTTTATTTACTGCATTTATATACCGCCTTTCTCACCCCTGGGATAAAGGTACTGTCTGGATGGGCCCCTAGTCTCAAGGGGTGGTGGGTGGAATTTCTGCAAGGAGGAGTGCGTAAATTTGTTCCATGATTTAAAACTCTTAGTAAACAGGAATGTCTGCACTCATTTTCCGTGAAACAGCCAGAATACAGAAGCTGAGGCTAGCAGAGATGCAGCAGTGAAAGGCAGGCTAACGGGCACCCTCCTCTTCCTTCCTACATTTATTCATTACATTCCACTGACTGTAGTAATTAGGACAATTTTCTCTTCCTTCCTCATACTCCCAACCCATATCCTTTCTGATGCGTAAGGAAAGGGTGCATCTACTCAGTAAAATAAAGGAATTTTGACACAACTTTAATTGTCATGGCTCAATGGGGTGGAATTCTGGAAGATGATGTCTGCTAAGACACTAGCACTCTTTGGCAGTGAAGACTACAGACTTTGTAAAATGACAACTCCTGGGATTCTATAGCATGGAGTTAAAGTGGTGTCAAACTACATTCGTTATACACTGTAGATGCAGTCTCAATCTATTATGCTTTGGGAAATTTTGACCCTATGTTCCAAGAACCCCAAGAATTTTACAAGTCCGATATTAAAGAAAATAAGTGTTGTATAGTGGCAGTGTGTGTTGATGGTATATGCAGTTAAGTGCTTTCTAAAAATACTTTGTTGAAGAATCTGTGTGACTCAAAACTCAGACTGAAACTATAATTGTTGACTAGTAGCAAAGCCCCAAGCTTTGTGTGATTGCTCTCCTTATGCTTGACTTATGAACTTAAGAAAATATCTTAAGAAGATATCTTTCCTTGAAATTTCTTTGGACTTTCCTCTATAATTGTCTCAGAAGTGAATTAGAAAATGCTACTCTGGAAGACCAGAGATTTGAACCCTGGTCTACCAAAGGGACACCTTGACTTCTTATCCTTATTGCTTTCTGCTTTCTAAGGGTGAGCTTTTCTGCAAGTAGAAAGAAAAATCTGTGGCTAAGCACCCTGAATCCTACATGCAGGATTGTTTGATGAATTAATGTTTTCCAAGCAAACTTGACTAAAACTGGGCATCCTTGGCTAAACTTAGCTAAAACTTTGGGGCTTTATTTGGGAGGAAGCAAGGAAGTAGACTGAGTTACCACTAACTGATGTGTCCATGTGCTTGTTTCCATGACAGCTTATCTGGCAATGGTAATTGCAGCCTGTACCTTGAATTTTCACAGAGCTTTGCCTCTCTTTGTCCTGACTGTCCTTGCCATCTTTTTCATTTGCTGGGACTTTCTGATGGCCAAATATGAGAACAGAATTGCTAAATCTCTTTCTCCTTTTGGAAAGTTTCTGAGTAAACAGTGGTTTTGGCTGAAATGGTAAATATGTGATTAATTTCTTTCTTTGTTGTTTTAGATCAAAAAGGAGACTCAATTGTTGATGTTTTTCTTTTGTTGTTTGTTTTTTTATGATATAGTAGTAGGAATTAGTTAATTAAGAATTACATTTTAGAATCATAAAATAGAAAGAAAATAAAAAGAAAGCTTTGGGGTGGGAATAATCTGATCCTCACCATCTTGTTAGACTGTAACATCATCCCTCACCAGAAAAGGCAATGGTGGGAAATGTTGGGCTTGTAAGTTATGGAGGCCTACATAATTTCCACCTCTGTCCTAAACAAATAACAGCCGATATATCCATAACATGCAAACTATAAAATATGTGATTATATCATAAAACAAGCCCTATAACCGTTTTTTATAATAAAAAAAACACTGATCTATCATGCAGCAGTTAACACATATTGGGCAGTGTCCTGCTGGTGATATAAAAGTGTAAGTCTACTTGTACCCACATGTGTTTTTTGGTTGTTGGAGAGGTTAGTATTCTCTTCCACCCCCAATGACCAAAGTCCCACTCCTCAACTCTTAGTTTTCCTGCATTATCCATTTGAATAATAATTTCATGACTAATGGAGAACATGGGGAATTGGAGACGCATCTGGCTATGTTCCTGTAGCCAGATGCAAAATTATTACCTTATCCACTGAAACCTCTGGAAGACTCCAGGTGATCTTGGTAGAAGATGCTGATTGTCTGTGTCTGGTTAAAGAGCATAGCCAGATGCTTCTTGGATGCCCTGTGTTCTCCTCTAGTCACAGAATGGCTGTTGAAAGGGATATTGCAGCAAACTTTGGAGTGGTGAGCAGGGAGCTATAGCAGAGCTCTCAGCTATGAACATTTAGGGCCTTTCTACACAAGCCTAAAGCCCACTATGGATTTCAGATTAGCCTGAGGCAGGTTAATCTGGATTAACCCAGAGTAAACCTGGATTTCCAGGTTTAACTGCAGGTTCAGGAAAAACCTGCAAAGATTCAGGCCTTTCAATAAGATCCGGATCTTTGTAGGTGTGGGCCCTCTTGTGACTGAGTCTCAGGATTGTCTTCCATGATCCTGAGGGTCAATCTCTACACCATCCTGGTTTTTCAGGCTCTAGGAGCCCAAACAAACCAAGATGCCACTGCTGCACTGCCACCCTGCATTCCCTCGCCTCCTTTTCTAATAAACACTTAAAAAGTACAGAGTCACCATTCCTGGAAATGATGCAATGGAGCTTTAGAGAAGGAATTTCCTCTTCCCCTCACAAAAGATCCAATCCATTATTTCCAGGAGCAACAGAGCACTTTGATGCCTTACCTGGTCCTTTGCAACCCACGTAATGATTTACTGAACCCCTCATAGATAGCTACACACAAATGACATATTGTGTTTGGCTTAGAGGATATAGTTTCTTCAATGGAAATGTGGTAACAAAATGGTCTAATTAGATAAAGGAAATTAGATAAAGATATAGCAAATTAGATAAAGTGTTCTTATCAGATTATGAGCTTCTCATTAGCCTTTGTCATTCACTGTCCTATTTTCAAACCCATTTTGCCTAGGGTAGTGTGGATCTCTCTAATAACTGCCATTGTATGCTGGCTTATCTTTGACACTGCCAAACAAGGAACCAGACAGCTCATATCCTTTGGTGGACTAGTTGTGTATGTTCTCTTGATGCTGATTTTTTCTAAATATCCAACAAAGGTGAGTGTTTCTGTTCCTTCATTTTTCCATTTTGGTGCTTATATATTTGCTAGGCATTAATTCATCCTCTCCTGAGCTGAATTATGCAGAGGCATTGGACTATGACGGAGGCATCTGCTTGTCCAATTTTGTGGGATTCTTTTAGGCTTGTTCTTCCTGAAACCGTAGAGGAGGTTCTTGGGGCTGTGAGGGCGACCACCTCACCTCTAGACCCATGCCCATCTTGGCTCATTAAATCAGCCAGGGAGGGTTTGGTTGACTGGTTTGCATTGATTATCAATGCATCGTTGGAGCAAGGGATTTTTCCATCTAATTTGAAACAGGCTGTGGTTCGTCCACTCCTCAAAAAAGCTTCCCTTGACTCCACGGTGCTGAGTAACTACAGGCCAGTCTCCAACCTCCCTTTCTTGGGTAAGGTGCTGGAGCGGGTGGTCGCCTCGCAGCTCCAGAGCTTCCTAGACGATACCAACTACCTAGATCAGTCACAGTCTGGTTTCAGGCCTGGTCATGGCACCGAGACAGCCTTGGTCGCCTTGGTGGATGACCTCCGCAGAGAGCTGGACAGGGGGAGTGTGACCCTGCTGGTTCTCTTGGACATCTCAGCGGCTTTCGATACCATCGATCATGGTATCCTTCTGGGTCGTCTCTCTGGGATGGGTCTCGGGGGCACGGTTCTGTTGTGGCTCCGGTCCTTCCTGGAGGGACGAACCCAGATGGTGAAGCTGGGAGACGCCTGCTACCCCTGGCCTTTGACCTGTGGGGTCCCGCAAGGCTCTATTCTGTCTCCCATGCTTTTCAACATCTACATGAAACCGCTGGGAGAGGTCATCCGGAGTTTTGGAGTTGGGTGCCATCTTTATGCGGATGACACACAACTCTACTACTCTTTTCCACCTAATTCCAAGGAGGCTTCTCGGGTGCTGGACGAGTGCCTGGCCGCTGTGTCGATCTGGATGAGGAAGAACAAGCTGAAGATCAATCCTGACAAGACAGAGGTCCTCCTGGTCGATCGTAAACCGGATCGGGGTATAGGGTGGCAACCTGTGTTGGACGGGGTTACACTCCCCCTGAAGCCACAGGTCCGCAGTTTGGGTGTCCTCCTGGATTCTTCGCTCACACTTGAGGCTCAGGTGTCGGCGGTATCTGGGAGGGCCTTTGCACAATTGAGACTTGTGCGCCAACTGCGACCGTACCTCGTGAAGGCTGATCTGGCCGGGGTGGTCCACGCCTTGGTCACCTCTAGAATGGATTACTGCAATGCGCTCTACGTGGGGCTGCCCTTGAAGACGGCTCGGAAACTGCAATTGGTCCAGTGGGCAGCAGCCAGGATGCTAACTGGAGCTCATTATCAAGAGAGGTCTACCCCTCTGTTTAAGGAGCTCCACTGGCTGCCATTTATTTTCCGAGCCCAATTCAAGGTGCAGGTGCTCACCTACAAAGCCCTGAACGGTTTGGGACCACCCTACCTGCGTGACCGCATCTCCATCTACGAACCCACACGCTCGCTCCGGTCATCTGGGGAGGCCCTGCTCATGATCCCACCTACGTCGCAAGCGCGCTTGGTGGGGACACGGGACAGGGCTTTCTCTGTGGCGGCCCCCCGACTTTGGAATGCCCTTCCAAAAGAGCTTCGTCAGGCCCCTACCCTAGCAGTTTTCAGAAGGAACCTAAAAACTTGGCTGTTCCGATGTGCCTTCGCAGATTAGGAATCCCCTATCCCAAGTCCTAGAAGCACTTTAGCATAACCAATGTTGCTGCACACCGCACTTTTAATCCTACGTTCCTCCTGCCATCTCAGCACTTTTAACCCCTGTACCCCATTGCGCCGGCCGAACCAGTTTTAATAGTGTCTTGATGTATTGATGCATTGTCATTGTTGTTATTTTGCTTAATTGTTTTGATTTGCTTTGTTTATTGTTGTGTTATGTTTTCTATTGTATTGTGTTTGAGGCTTCGGCCCGTGTAAGCCGCATCGAGTCCTTCGGGAGATGCTAGCGGGGTACAAATAAAGTTAATAATAATAATAGCTGTCACTGAGTAGGAATGATATGAGTTTTAATCCAACAAAATTGGATGGTGTCAAGGTTAGAGAAAGTTGCATTAACTGAAAATGAAGAATCCCTTAAGTTCCTTCTATAAAATATTTATAATACATAGTAACAGTACATGTGGGAGAGGGTATTAAATCCCAGAATCCCCAAGTCAGAATGACAAGTGTTGGCAGAAAGCTGAATGATTTATAGGCCAAAAATGTAGTGTGTCCCAAGCTCTGGTTGTTCAACCTTAACCAGAGTTTATTCTCATTCTCTCCCTTTCTGAATACTTGTGAAACACCAATCTTCATAAAAGGGTAAGAAAGCCTTCCATGGGTGAGGGATGTTAACCTAAATTTGTTGTTATTCATCATCAAATTAACTCAGACTTATGGCTATTCTGTGGATTACAGACCACATCACTCAGATCTTTCAGACAGGGCCTCCAAACCATCCTGTCATCAAAACCCTTCTTCTTGCAGATTCATACTCACACCTTCCTAGATTGAGTCTATCCATCTGTTTGATTGATTGATTGATTGATTGATTGAGTCTAACCATATTCCATGATTGACTCTACTCATCTTTTCCTACAAACTTCTACTATCCCAAACTTTATTGGCTCTTTTCCTAGTGAGTCATGTCTTCTTATGGATTGTCAAAAGTACAACAGTATCCGTTTACTCATCTTGGCTTCCAGGAAAGTTCAGGTTTCATTTGCTCTAAGACTCAATTATTAGTCATTTTGGAAACCCATAGCGCATGTCTCTGTCAGCATCACGTTGTAAGTGAGTTGATTACTTGGTATCAGCTTTATTCATTGTCAGGCCTTCAAAATCATATCTAGAAACCAGAAATGTTATGGCATGGATGTTTCTGGGTTTGGTATTTAATAATATGTTTTTACACTTAAGGATCTTATCTAGTTCTTGCATAGCTATCCTTCAGAGTCTTAGGCTGTAGAATTAATGTAGTTTGATGCTATTTTAATTGCCAATGCTATGGAACACTGGGAGTGGTCATTTGATAAGGTCTCTTGCCTTCTCTGTCAAAGAATTCTGGTGCCTCACCAAACTACAAATCTCGGATTCCATAGTACTGAGCCATGGCAGTTAAAGAAGTGACTAACTGCATTATATAGTGTAGATACAGGCTTAATCTCCTTCTGATTTCTTGGCCAGTCTTCATTTTGATTGCCTTGACCTGCATACGTTTTTGAATGGGATCTTTATCACTCATGGGTATATAGCAGATGGAACCTATGGCCACAGATCCTTGAACTTTTGACAAGAAACCTTCTTATGAAACAATTTAGAAAGGCCTGTCTAGAACTTGGAAATACTGGCGATATGAGTAGTTTTGTGTCCACTTCCAGACATGCTTGGACAATCTAAAACAGGCATTTAATGCCAGTATGATGATTTTTACCTTGAATAAAACTGACATCCAGTACTATTACTGATCGTGAGCCCTCAATATTCATATTAATTTTGGACTTATTTAATGATGATTGAAATTAGAGAGATTGCAGAATAAATCCAGGAAGAGCTCACTGAATTTCAAAATGGTAGGAACTGCAAGGATGCATTTGAATCTGATTCTGACACACTGCACTTACCCCATAATCCTTACATACCACTTGTCACGTCAGCACTTTTTTTTTTTAATAAACTTTATTGTCAGTTTCGATACAGTTATAAAAACAATAGAAAACACTGGAAAACACGAGGGTCAAGGAATAGGGAGGGGGTGTGTGTGAGGAAGAGTGTCTAGGAAGGGAGGAGCACTTTTAATCTGTACCCATTGGCCCAGTTTTATTGCRTCTTGGTGTATTGTTTTATTGCTTGTTGTTTAATATTGCTTTAACTGTTTTTAATTTCCTTAGGTTGTGTATTGTTATGTTGTRTTTTGAGGCCTTGGCCTTTGTAAGCCGCATCGAGTCATTCAGGAGATGCTAGCGGGGTACAAATAAAGTTAATAATAATAATAATAATAATAATTTTCTTGAGGAGTTTTAGTGTAAAAAAGCAATCTTTATACTAAAATTCAAGGAATTGCCTTGTGCTATCTTATGCTCTTCTCCACAACTTATTTATACAAACAAAGGTTTTCTGCTTTGCTAATAATTAAAAACAAGTCCAGGAATCAATTGAAAGTAAATAATGATATGTGTGTGTTGTTGTTCATTCGTTCAGTCGTCTCCGACTCTTCATGACCTCATGGACCAGCCCACGCCAGAGCTCCCTGTCGGCCGTTACCTTTGAACAATAATATTAGCCCCAGAATAACCCAAGTTGTTAAGAAGATGCAAGCTCAAAAATCACATTAGCATAACAAGTTAATCACCAGCTGCAGCTGTAGTAAATCTTGCCAACCAAAAGGTTGACAGTGCAAAACTGGGTCAGATTGAGCTCCTGACTGTCAGCCCAGCTCCACCGCCCACCTAGCAGATTGAAAACAGCAATGGGAGGTATTTTAGGCATGGCATTTCGAAGGAAAGTTTATAAACAAAGAAAGCTCTTCAGCAAGGAGATGGAGAGACAGGACCCCCCTGTGGCCAGAACTGAGCATAACCTCCAAAAGATGAATGATGAGAAAAAAGCCTAAAATCTGTTGTCTGTCTTGTCATTGTATAATCGTCATTGAATGTTTGAGCCTATGTGTTCTGTAATCCACCCTGAGTCCCCTTTGGGTTGAGAAGGGTGAAATATAAGCACTGTAAACAAACAAACAAACAAATAAATAAAATTGATGCAAACCAAATTTAATTTTCTATTAAATATGTCCTTTTTATATTATAATAGCACTCTTAATTAATCTTACTATTAAGTTATGTTAAAAGTTTTGATTAAAGTTAATGTTTAGATTAACTTTATTATATATACAGTTTATTATATATTGTCGAAGGCTTTCATGGCCGGAATCACTGGGTTGCTGTAGGTTTTTCGGGCTATATGGCCATGTCCTAGAAGCATTCTCTCCTGATGTTTTGCCTGCATCTATGGTAGGCATTCTCAGAGGTTGTGAGGTCACAACCTCTGACCTCACATCCTCTGAGGATGCCTGCCATAGATGCAGGCAAAACATCAGGAGAGAATGCTTCTAGAACAAGGCCATATAGCCCAAAAAACCTACAACAACATAGTTTATTATTCTTGAAACTTGTGGTCCCCGCTAACAACAAAAAAATCAAAGTAGTCCCTGGTCAAGAAAATGTTGGGAACCACTGGTGTGGGACAATTTCAAGGGAGAAAAAAATCAATTAATTAAAAAAGAAGGATGTTGTTGATGATTTGCCACAGCATATGCCAAACTTCATCTTTTTAGTAGTCTATTTTCTCCTTCACCTTGTTTTCTGAACATCCCAGCTTTCCTATTGTTCTAGGTTTATTTTGAAAAGAACTACAACAGTGCCTGCTCCGATCATATATGTGACAGTGACGTTAGAAGAACAATCTTTTCTAGTCCCAACAAGGCTTTCATTTGATTCATATATTATTAATTCACTGCTTCAGTTCACTGTGTCACTGATCTCTTTTCTAAAACTTTCAAGTCTTTTTCTGTCTGAGGAAATAAGAAATATAGCAAGGGATTTCTTACAGGTAAAAATTCCAATAAGCCAGTCTCCCAATAACACTTCATTTTCTGGAACAATGACTACCTTGATATTTTTGTTAATACATAATCCCACACGGAGTAGACAGCTGAAGTGAATGTTAATGAGCTACTCTTGTGTACTCATCCCTATGTCTTCGTTGCCCAACTGTATTACATTAATATGGGATGTATCATAGAGTTTCGCTTGATCCCGGCACTCCTAAACTTGTTCAGCATGGCACATCTGGATACAGTGTTGAAGGGAGGGGGGAACAGTGGATTGCTTTGGGCTCTAAAATCAATAACCAGTACTAGTGGGATTCTTCCATGTGATCTTTTCCCATAATAGTATGGTCAATTTGACAAAAGCCAACACACACAAATAGTGTCCCTTACATAAAATGGCAAAATCCAAATTGCTTTTTGGTTTTTATTGTTAATATTTTCGTTCAAGCCATGGATGGTTGAATCTAGGAATATGAACAGCCAACTGAATGTATGTATTCAATTTCTATCCTGCCTTTCTTCCCCACAAGGACTCAGGGCAGGTCGTAATAGGATTTTTAAACACCAGACACAAAAACACAGTGAATTATAGTAAAATGTGGTTAAACATATTTTCCTATTAAAACATAATTGAAATAAAAACCATTTTTAAAAGCTTTTTGCTTCTACTATTTGTTTTTCCGTATAGGTTATATGGAGACCAGTGTTATGGGGAATAGGACTGCAATTTGTCCTTGGACTAATAACATTAAGAACAAAAGTAGGATTTGATGCATTTGAATGGCTTGGTGCACAAGTACAGGTAAGCACTGGCTGAAATATATGGCTGTATTCTCCCTCCTTCCTTTAAAATATATATATAAGTATACCAGTAGCAAGGACCAGAATTGGTGTCTATAGAAAAGTGAAGGAAATCAGTGTGGGATCAGTAGGATTATTTAATTTAGCATAGCTGGCAGTAGTTCTAGCATGTTGTACTTCCTTGATATTATATAAGGAACTACCTTGTATATTCCTGAATAATACAAAGATATGTAAATCACCACAAATTTTGGTTCTATGAGTAGGAATGTGTCATTTAACAAATCATCCCCAAAAACAGGAGCCACAGTGACACAATGGGTTAAACCCTTGAGCCAGCTGAACTAGTGACCCGAAGGTTGGTGGGTCGAATCTGCAAGATGGGGTGAGCTCCCAATCTGTCAACTCTAGCTTCTCATGTGGGGACATGAAAGAAGCCTCCCACAGGATAGTAATGCAACAGTGTGTCCCCTGGGCAATGTCTTTGCAGACAGCCAATTCTCTCATGCCAGAAGCAATTTGCAGTTTTTTAAATCGCTTCTGACACAATAAAAAAAATTCCAAAAACAGTGGGAAAATTTTATTCACACTTCAGGACCAAGCCTTTGGGACAGTGCAAAAAGGCAACAATAGGAAACTTTACTCTGCTAACCAGATTTGATATGGATTATTTGAGACAGTTTTAAACAGTTGATTTTAATGTAGAGATAAATTATTTTAGTGTTTATGTATGTTTATAGTTTATTTTATCTTCTGACATTGAATGTTTGCCGTATATATGTTGTGCTGCCCTGAGTCCCCTTCGGGGTGAGAAGGGTAGAATATAAATGTTTTAAATAAATAAATAAATATCGAGGGGGGCTATATGTATTTCCTGTACAGAAATGTGTTTTCTATGTAGAAAACAATATTTTCATTTTGAGAAAATTTGTTTTCTACATAGAAATTAACATAGCTGCGCAGGAAATGCCATATTCAGCACAGAATCCCACATGAATTTTATGCACAAAGTAAGTCCCTGGCTATGGAGATTCTACCTTTGTCAATGATTCTCCTTGGGTTTTTTAAATAATGGATTCAAATATACACGAATATTCTTTCCAACCATCTACAATATTTGTTTGTATTAAAATGATGTTGCAGTACAATACAATGATTTGGGTTTTTTGGAGAATGCCTGGGTACATCTCAGTCTATTCTCTGATCTAAAAGGTCACGGGTCAGTCAGAGAAGAGGGCCTTGTGAAGGTTTCCTCAAGTCATAACTTTGTTGGTAGTTTTTTCCTCCTGGAATTTTAGTATAAGTATGCTGGTGGAACTTTATTTTCCATCAGCACCCCATAATTTTTTGTGCCTCAGCCCAAAAAATTCAAGCCTAATTAGTAAAATCCACAGTAGAGGCTAGAAATGGAAATGGAGATAGTTTGGGATGCTGCAAATCAGGCATTGTTATTGTTATCATGTCACTGCAACTGTTATTTTAAAGTGCTAATATACAGAATAAGTTTTAAAGTTTTATTGGAATGTGCTTATTGTCATGTCATTGCCTATGGCTGGTACAATAAACAATTCATCAATTCATAAGATTTTGACCCTTATCTGGAGAGGCAATGGTTGCTAACAAAAAGCAGCAAGGAACCAACAAGTCATATAGTGATTGCTTAGGGGATCATCAGATGGATATGTGGAACTCCTTACAAATATGAGAATGATGGCCACTTTTTCTCACCCAGGATCATAAGTAATGGAGATGAGGCATAAGTTGGCTTGAGACCTCAGAGATATAATAAACAGTGTTAGGTTAGATCAGGCTTGTCCAACCTGCAACCCGTGGGCCACATGTGAGCCCAAGACACCCATAAATCCAGCCCAACACAAAATCATAAACTTAGTTGAAACATTAAGATTGTGATTCTCAAGAGCAAATGTTGTAGATATCAATGGAATGAAAAGAAATAACCAGATTATGTTGGCATCTACAAATATAATTGCCATCCATAATTCACATTATAATTGCAAATGGTCTCTGAATGGGGCAGCACATAATTAGGATTATTATGTGAAAACTTTTTTTTTTTTTTGCTTATCTGTGTTAGTTGATATCCCAAAAAATATGCAAAAACCTTTCTGGGTGATCCCTAACTTTGTAGTTTGAAAATCCAATTTTTCCAGGATCTGTTTTCCTAACTGTTCTCAAGTGAACAGGACCACCTGCTAAGGCATACTAACACATCCATTCAATTCAAGGTAACTGGGATAAGTTAAGAAATTGCAATAAATTATTGTCTATATATGAATAAACTGCAATATATTATTATCTATTGCTAGTTTGGGTTTTTGTTTTTTTAAAAAAAAAGTGTTTTCTTTCTCATTTAAGACTTTCTTGGGATACACAGATGCTGGGTCTAAATTTGTGTTCGGGGAAAAATACATGGATCATTTCTTTGCCTTCAAGGTAAGTTACAACTGTTGTTGTTTTATCTCATCAAAGAGGAGAGTATCTGTTTAAGAATATGTTTACCAGGTCCTCTCTTCTGCAGGAGAAATGAGCTGTGTAAGAATAAAATAGTGGGAATCATCTTCTAATAAAACAACGTGATGTACAATAGAGTCTCGCTTCTCCAACATAAACGGGCTGGCAGAAAGTTGGATAAGTGAAAATGTTGGCTAATAGGGAAGGATTAAGGAAAAGCCTATTGAACATCAAATTACCTTATGATTTTACAATTTAAGTACCAAAACATCATGATTTACAACAAATCAACAAAAAAGCAGTTCAATACACAGTACTGTTATGTAGTAATTACTGTATTTATGAATTTAGCACCAAAACGTTTCAATATATTGAAACAGCTATGGATCCGAGTGGGAGGCAGACTGTGTTGGATAATACAGAATGTTGGATGAGCAAAGGTTGGATAAGCGAGACTCTACTGTACTTGCCAGCACACAGATACTGAGTTTAGAGAAAGCAAAAGATTGGAGAATAATGCAATTTCCTGAGAGACAAACTTTATTAAGGATCTACAGGCTAAATCAACTGTGCAGGCCTCCAACATATTCTGCTGCTTATATAACCTTGATATTCTATCATAATTATGTCAACATCAAGTCAATTTCACTTTATGATAACTCTATCTCAGATATTGTTTTTTTAGTGAAGGGAAAAGATTTCTTCAGAAGTTATTTACTCTTAGGCTGTTCCACTATCACCAAGTTGAGCACTAATACTATCCCATTCTTACCAAAATCTAAATTCTAGTCTCATCTAGAGAAGACCAGTTGAATTAGTAGGAACTTGATAAATCAACACTTATTTGAGTTTCAGTTAAATGGGTCTAATCTAGTTGGGATTAATAGTTGGATATATTGTATATACTCATGTATACATCAACATCATAAATAAGTGAAGAGGAAAGATTTTGAGAGCACAATTATGGATCTTGACATGATCCATGGGTCATTCTTCAGAGAGAAGAAAGCACCAGCACCACCTCAAGGAACCATTTTCTACTCAATTTGTACTCATAGAAAGAGAAGGTTCCTTTTAAAATAAAAGCTAAAATGCAATATTAATTCTTTTTTTAAAAAAATGCTCTTTTGAAAAAAAAGTGCTAAGGCGCTACTGCCATTTTTTCATCTAGAGATTCAAAAAGACCAGAAGAAACAGAGGGCCCTTCCAGACAGGCCCTATATCCCAGAATCTGATCCCAGGTTTTCTGTTTATCCTAGATAAACAGTCCAGTTTAAAGCAGAAAACCTGGAATCAGAGCCTGGGAAATAGGGTCTGTCTGGAAGGGCCCAGAGAGAATAGAGAGGGTGAGTGCTTCTTTTGGTTCTCTCAGGATGGGCTAAGCTCTTGCCTGCACCGGGATTGTGGCACAGCTGGCTGGGAGTCAGCTGCATTAAGATCACTACTTACCAAAAGGTCATGAGTTCAAAGTCAGCCCGGGTCAGAGTGAGCTTCCAACCATTGTGTAGCTTGCTGTTGACCTTTGCAACCCGAAAGACAGTTGCATCTGTCAAGTAGGAAATTTAGGTCCACTTATGTGGGAAGGCTAATTTAACTAATTTATGATGCCATAAAATCTCCAGCAAGCAAGCAAAGAATGAGGAAGTTCTCCATCAGTGTCACAAATGGATGGTGAAGTGACAGCTCCCCTGGTGGCCAGAATACCCTCATGAAAGCTGGAAAGTTAAATAGCCTCGTGTGTCTGTCTATATATGTTGTGTGTCTATGGCATTGAATGTTTGCCATGTATATGTACATTGTAATCCACCTTGAGTCCTCTGTGGGGTGAGATGGGCAGAATATAAATACTGTAAATAAATAAATAAAATTTGCCACTCTACTCAGAGAAAGGGATGGTTACTGTTGTTTTTTTTAAATAAGAGTTAAGGTACAGACTTACATTGACTCAAAGATAAGTCTAAAGTTTTTAGACTCATACATGAAGTCTAGTTTTTTGTTTTGTTTTGTTTTTTGTTAAAGAACAGTTAAAAGGAAAGTTTCTGAAATTTTGAGTAGATTATCAGGAAGGTCTTTTTTTAAAAAGCGGTCTTGGGCCACATGTGTACTTATTACAGAAATCAATAAAATGCCTCTCCAAGGCCTTCTCTCATTTCTTTCATGGACTGAGGAAAGGGCTCAATAATCCTTGACCTCTTAAGAGGAACATGTTGCCCAGCAACCTGTCCTTCATGTCTCTTGACTATTTGGATGGAGGATATGAAGCAATCAGATATTTTTCCTCTCATTCACTTTCTCTCTTAGCGCTCCTATTCATTGGACTAAGGAGATTGCATAGGGCAGGAAGTGATTCATTTAAAAGTCCCTACATTTTTTCAATCCTTTTATTTTGAGTACTTCAAGTAATAGAATACCCAGCAGGAAGATGTATCAGTTGCAGGATTGGCATGTTGATAAATAAAGTCATATTTTTGTCCAGAAAGTCCACCTGCCTTTTAACCCTTTGAAGGGATATGTTTTGTGAAATATTCTCCGGGACTGCTGTGTTAGGGAATTTTTGCCAAATATATTTTAGTATCCTTGGGTGGTTTTAAAATTTTTAATTCACCTAAATGGAATTTAATCAAATTGATAATTAAATTATTAAATTGGTGTTTTTAAATAATTTGAAAGTTGTTAGTCCTGGTGACATAAGGAGTTGTTCTGTCAGTAATTCGTGACATTTACTTTTTAAAGGTTGAGTGTAACGAATAATTAATTGGGTGGTTGTAGGTTTTTCGGGCTATATGGCCATGTTCTAGAAGCATTCTTTCCTGACATTTCACCTGCGTCTATGGCAAGCATCCTCAGAGGTTGTGAGGTGAATTACTTTTCAAACATAAGAGTGAATTATTTTTCAAACATAACAGTTCAAGTACTGAGCTGAAACAATGACAAATAATATCTATGTAACTACTGGCAGAGGCAGCTTAAAGAAGCATTGTCCATTTGTATTGTCAAAGGCTTTCATGGCCGGAATCACTGGGTTGTTGTAGGTTTTTGTGCTATATGGCCATGTGGGTGAGAAGGACAGGGTACAAATGCATGAAACAAACAAATAAATAAATAAGTTAATATTAACAAGAATTCATACTCTCTTACTTTTAGAGAAAGGCAGTGACAAAATCCCTTTGAGCAAGTTTTGCCAAGAAAGCACAAATACAGAGTCAACATAAGTCAGAGTCAACTAAAAAACATAATCAAAGATCTGCTCCAAAGGAAGACCTTCAGTCAGTGTCCTCCCATGACATTTCGCTGCTTGAAGCAGTTAGTCTAACTAGGTCCTTCTCACTTGCAGTGCCATTGATATCTGCCTTGCGTTTCTCCGTTTCTCCTTTGTGATGTTGCCTGAAGCACATTACTTCTCTCTGGTGGCCTCAGTTGCCATGTTATACCCTTCTGTCCCCAAACTTATGGAAAGTAGAAGGCATGCCATCCTGCTGTGACAGTCAGTGATACGTATAGCACTCAATAATCATCATCATCAACATCATCTTTATTTATATAATCTGGGGAGGCCCTGCTCTCAGTTTTGCCTCCATCTCAGATGCGTTTGGTGGGGATGAGAGACAGGGCCTTCTCAGTGGTGGCCCCTTGGCTGTGGAACGCCCTTCCTAGGGATATTAGATCGGCCCTCTCCCTCTTAGCATTTCACAAAAAGATTAAAACCTGGCTTTTTGAGCAGGCATTTGCAAATGCAATGTAACAGGCAATGGTAGACCACAGAACAACTGACGATGCGATTGAATAGTGATTTCAGTAAGGAGACACTGAGGATTTATCTTTTTATTGACTTTTTATGAACCTATATTTTATATGCTAATGTTTTAAATTGTGTTTTATATGTTGGGGGGCATCAGATTGTGCTGAATGTAAACCATCTTGAGTCGCCTTTGGGCTGAGAAAGGCAGTATATAAATATGGTAAATAAATAAATAAAATATATCCTGCCCAAGGGGACTCATGGCGGTAGTGATTGTATGCTACTCTCTGTGTTTATTGGAGGTCTTCTACTCAACCACAGAAATTTCACCAAAAACAAGTTTCATGTCCCTTTGATATTAGAGCTCCTAGGAGACTTAAAAAACTAGGAGACTTAAGATATTAGAAGTCCTGGAAGAGTTTCCAGGATGTTCTTAGCCTTGAACAGCCAAGTCTCTGTCAAGAAAGTGAAGAATGGTTGGGGGGGGGGGTAGCAGCCGGCTGCCCCAAGTACTGTTCCTTCCAAATGAGGAAAAATCACTTGTTACATCAAATAAAGGAGCACTCAGCACTAACGCTGTTACTTTGGGGAAAGTAGCCACATAAACAAATGTTATGCAAAAACAGAATTCATTGTGGCTTGCATTGTTAATTATAATTGCAATACTTTCAGGCTCTAGGAACATATACTTTAGGGAGAAATCTTCAATGATTGAGCAGATCACAGTTTGTGGACCTTAGGAACCCATTTAAAGAATACTGAATTAACTCTCAACGCAACATCTGCAGGTGTTTATCAGTAGGAATGGAACACAAGGTTCTTCAGAGGCTGAGAAAAGGCTCTGTCCGCCTGGTCTCCATGCCATAGGAGATAACAGGCAAAGATTTCTCCCCACACTTCTCAAAATATGCTTGGCTCTCTGACAAACTTTAAACCTTTGATCCTACAACTCAGTTAAAAGCTTTTAATATTCAAACGAATGGCAGGTTTGGTTCTGCCCACTGAACCAAGAGTATATGAGTCCTAACAAATTAGTTTCTAATGCTAGTTGGTTTTTTAAAATAAAGATTTTTAATACAAATATTTTTAAATGTAAACTACTAAAATATTTGTTTCTAATGTGTGGAGAGGATACACATTTTTTGTTCTTCCTCTGGTCATTTTTAGTTTTTATTAAAGAATGCCTTAGAAATTCAATCTGTAATGCTACTGTTTTATGGTTAAAATTAATGGGTCATTGTGCAGATCATACTGGGTTTTTTTCCCATTTGGGGTCATTAACATTGGGCTGATTGCCTCCACAGTTGTCCATTTGTGAAATCCAGCCATTTCACCCATCCCAAGACCTGTAAGCTCCTCCTCCGCCTCTTCTTCCTCCTCCTTCTTTGTTCCTTTTCCTACTAATTTCTGTTGATGGCACTTCTTCCATTTGTGTTCATTTATGTGAACATGAGAAACATTGCTGCCTCCCCCAAATGCAATGGGAATGCAACTGCCATTATCCCCAACAACTGATTGTGTTGCCCTGGTGCGGTGTGGATTGCATTCAAACAATACAGAGATAGATGCATGTTCCTTTTCCCTGTTTGATGCCTTAGGTCCGTCTCTTTCTTTCTATTCAAGTGCTATTAGAGAAAAGATTGGCAGAGTGGAGCCTCAAGAGCTAATTTTGACTCTAATTATTGCCGTCTGTAGGGAGAAGGGGCAATTTGCCAGGTTTGTGTTCCCTTCGGGTCATTTCAGGCCCAGGAGTGGCTTTTGTGTGCTTAAAAGAGGAAGTGAACAAGAAATGACTTCCAGTTGTTTGGGAAAGAGTTTAAAATGACTGGGAGGACATCAAAAGTATGGTATGTCTTAATGTCCATTCAGGTACATTTTGAAGCAACAAAAAGAGCAAGGGGCAGAAAGAGAGAAAGCAAAAGATTTAGGGGAGTATGGGCCTCCAAGGTCTCCTAGGGGACAATAAGGTCCCTAACTTCATATTGTTGTCCACCCCAGACTAGACCCATTGCCAGGAGTATGTCTTCCCCTCCAACTTGTTGATTTGCCTTCTGACATCCAAAGTTCAATCACTCTACAACAGTTTATCAGATTATATAACAAATTTGAAAAAAATGTCTGTTCCTGGTTCGAAAGTTTTATTTTCCTGTTTAATTGTGCAGCACTTGCTTTGAAAGTATTTGTTATACTCCAGAACCTTTGTTTTTGTGGCTGTGACACACTATGTTGAATTGGTCGAGACTCTACAAGATATTCATTGAAAAGCTATAGAAAAATATGCTGCAGGATGTCAGTTTAATAAACTTTTTCCATGTTTTTATGATAGAACCAATTAGGAAATGAGATTTATAACCCAAAAACAAAAAATAAATGTGTTACATAGCGTGATCTCTATACATATAGGTGGTACTTTCTGTATTGGGCAAACATGACAGAAAAAATTTAAGCACCTGAAAATCAGGGAGGTCCATATTCATCCCTGGTCCACATCAGGTTTTTTTGAGTATTTCTGCTACATAGGAGAACAGAATCATCCTGCTTTCAAAATTTATATTTACTGAGCAGCCCAAAGAGTTGTGATCCTCAGCCTTTTGTCCTTCAAATATTTTAGATTTCAACTCCCAATATCATTTACTGTGATCCATGTACTCTAGGGCTTCTGGGAAATGAAAGTCTTAATCTAAAGGACCACAGGCTGAAAACCAATGCTGCAGACATTTTGTTCTGAAGGGAAACAGACCCTTAATTACCTGCTATTCTGATGGTCACAGATGTGCTGTTTTGACTTCCTGTTTCTGCTCTACTTACAAGCCTGGCAGAATTTTCAAATTATTATTTTAAAAGCACTCTGTGTTCCTGCTCACTGATGCACAGTCCCAAAGTACCTTGCATTGGTACAATAATCAAAAGCTTTATTGTGAAGGACAGCTGGCCCTGACCACAGAATTCAATGTTGGAATGTGGTTTATTGCTAGGTAAAACTCATGGCTAGCAACGTGCTTTAATTAATCAGGATGTTATTATTGTTAACAAGGCAATATAGGACAAAAGTCTATATTCCAATCAGCATTACCACTTCCTGTAATTATTTAGCAAGTCACAAACATATTTATGTAACTCAGAGCCAGCTGAATAATACTTTTAAAATTTTGTATGCCCTTTTCATGTTCCAGGCAGCTTTATCCCCTAGTATGACCATGTATTAGGAAAGTAAAACTTTTACTTAATTAGTTCTCCATTATCCCCACCTCCATCCACATATCCCTTTCTTTTACACCCAACACTTCCACTTTCCTTTTCTCTGTGTGTGAGAAAAAAATGCCAATTTTTCATAATAATAATGTTATTTCTAAAAAAGGAGTGTGTGGCTAAATGATGTTTAGCCAAAGTGTGGGAGGAATCGAGTTGAGGGCTGGAAAACACTCATTTCAAAGGTACACTTTGAACCCGTTTTTCTGAGAAACATGCTGCTTTCCATGTCTGTGGATCCCAACAGGCATAGAAAACATGTGCTTTCCTTCCCTCCTCCCTGTGTGGACTCTTGAGAGCCCATGCATTTCTCAAAAGCCTGAAACAACTGATCAGCTGATCAGTTGTCAAATGGAAACATGGGTGGCTCAGGGAATCACAAGTGGAAAGTAAATACAGTTCTCTCAAATTCTGTATTTTACACTTGGTAATGTTAAACAAAGCTTGAATTAACAGTTGGAGGAAAACAGAGATCCGAGGGAAGTTTTTTTTAATTGCTCCATTATGTGCTGGACCTCATATACACATATGCACATATGCATCTCTGGAGTGAAGTTTTAATAAACTTGCTCTGGATGTCCCCCATCCTGCCTCCATCTTAATCCATTTCACAAAACAATTGTGAGGACGATGGGGGACTATGCAACGGGACTGGCAGGTCTGTGTTTGGATTCCCTTTGAGATTCCACGATTTAAAAACTCACTTTGTCCCTCATTATGGCGCTATCTGGAAGTGCCCTGAATGAGTTAATATGTCAGTGTAGATATGCCCCAACATCCTTCTTATAAAATCTTCTCAACATTTGAACAACATTTTTCAAATATTTGTCAATATTATTTCCATCCCTAATCTCCAGGCATGTTCATTAGTATGCTGCTGAAGTGTCAGTGATATTTTTATTCACCTGTGCTTTTAGTAGCTTGCAAACTGTAGTCTGTAAATAATCTCTGCTGTTAATATTGCTAGTCATTTTCGAAGTTGTTCTGTTTTATTCTTGTTTGATGGCCTTAGCCTGGAGACCTCTCCAATTCATTTTACAAGTGATCCCTGAGTTACAAAAATCTGACCTACAAATGTCTCCTAGTTAAGAATGAGGGTGAGACAACAGGAATCTACCCCTAGGAAGGGAAAGTCACTCCTGAAAGAGTTATCATGGGGAAAACGTGTCACCACTGAAGCTTTCTCACCAATTCTTGTTTCCACAACAAGCCAATTTTTTCAAAACCTAATTTTCACAGGGACAAAAAGTGATGTGAAATCTCCTGAACAGGAAGACAGACAGCAAAATAAAGGCCACATGGGCATTAACCCTTCCTTATGCTATCGAAAGCTTAAATATGCATATATATTTGGTTAGAATTACTTCTTTAAAATGTATCTGTTCTTGCTTACATACAAATTCAACTTAAAAACAAACCTACAGAATCTATCTTGTTCATAATTTGGGGACTGTCACTATTTCTGTTTTGAAATGTAGAAAATGGACATTCTTCATACTTGTAATTGTTCTTTTTTATCCAAATCAGGTGCTGCCTATAGTCATTTTCTTCAGCACTGTGATGTCTGTGCTGTACCATGTTGGATTCATGCAGTGGCTTATTAAAAAGGTAAAGCCTGAGGCTCATGTTTTACAGCAGGGGTTGGCACACACAGAGGGTTTTGGCAGCAGAAAGCCCTCAATTTTGGCAATGCTGAACCCTCCAGTGGACCACAGCTTTCAGGTTTCAGTTTGGTTGGTGGGGGGAGTGAAACTGTCTTTAAAGCCTTTAATGCAATATTCTGTGTGCCCAGAGTTGTTTTTGGGAGAAATTGCAATTTTTTTTGGGGGGGGGGGGGAATCAATAGAAGAATTCTAGGCATGTCAAGAATCCTGCTTTGTGGCGGGCTGCACAGTCTTCCATCATTGTAGCTCCTGAGAACTCCTCTTATGGCCTGATGACCAAAGGTGGTTAAAAAAATAGTTAAAGTAAATGGACCAGCCCCACTCCTTGGAGAAATACTTTAAACAGATTTTAAAGTGGTCTTCTGTGGCCTAGGGATGGTCCATGAGCTGTTGGCTACTGCTCTGCATCAAGTTCCCAGGAAGGAAAGAATGGTCAATGGATAAAAAATTGGTTCCAGTCTCTGACACATTAGTAGAAATAACCTGCCAGTCCTCTGCATTACATAGCTTAAGAAGTGTAGATCCAGCCTTAGTCTCAGAATCCAAAATTAGGTTTCTAAATTCTTCTGTAAACCTTCTCTTAATATCCATCTCTCTTTTTCATCTCTTCTCTAAAAGTTTACCAACCCAAATTATGCATTTTTCAAACTATAATGGGGGTCTCTTCTCTAGGCCTCTCCAATTGGTAAGAAATGGTTGATAGAAGTCACATTTTAGATGTTTTAAGTGTTTGTACAAAACATGACCAAAACATGTTATCCTAACAAAATAGGGTCAAATTCTTAGCCTGTTTTGGTTTCTGAAGACACTGTTTCTTTGAATAACAGATTGTCATATAGGAAGTTGCAGCTTAGATTTAGTCCAGTGGAAAAAAAATACTTACTTCATCTCCCTGGTGGCAACAGTCAGTCATCATCTCCTTCTTCCCAGGCAAGCCTGCTCCTACTTTTTGTGAATTCCTGTATTGCAATAAAATTATATTTATGTGAAAGAGATGAACATGAGTCAACCTCATGGAAGGTGGGGAAATGGTACTTTTAAGCAGTGTGATAACAGCAGAAAAGTAATTTTCCACATAATAACTTTCTTTTCTTAGGTTGGATGGATAATGCAAATTACCTTAGGGACAACCCCTGTTGAATCCTTAGTTGCAGCCGGCAATATATTTGTGGGGCAGGTAAGTTGGGCAACAAAGAAATAATCTACTGGCTTTGAAGCCCCCTTCTTGAAATAGACCATGGTTTGTCATCATACTAAGCAATTTTTCTCTCCTACGAGATAAAGTAAAGCAAATATATATCCTTCCTTGGAACTTATGTACACTCTAGTAGAGAAGCATTTCCATTAATGAGACAAGAACATGGTTATCTCAAATTCATAGAATGCCATCAGGGGTGGAAATTGACATCCATTGTGGCATCTTCTCCTGACCCAGTGCTCTTACATCTAGAGGACACCCAGTTGGAATAAGGACAGCTCAATCTTTCATTTTGTCTGCTCCAAGCTTCTTGCCTTTTCCCACATACTGCAATCTGGCCATCCATGTTGCTCTAATTTATCTCCTCCAAAACTCCATAGACCTACCTTGTTCTCTTTTCTCATGAAGGAGTAGATATTTATCAAAGATAATTCTCTCAGTGCTAGAATACCAATCTTTCTGAAGAACGTAAACTTTTCTCCATCTTTTGTGCAATTGTGTCTTTGTGTAAATTGTATTGTGGAGTGTTGTGGCTCAGCAAATGATTGGGGATTTTTCTGATAGTTCTTCAGAGGATGAGGGAATTGATGGGTTTCAAAGTACAGATTCTGTTAGTGACTTGAGGGAATTGCAGGCCAAAGAGGTCCCAGTTTGGGATTCCTGTGCTTCTTCCCAAGCAACAGACAGTGAAGATTGCAGCTCCGTTGGGAAACAACCTTCGGATGATAGAGGGATTTCCCATGAAGCCAGATTAGTTATCTGGATGGAGAGAGTGAAAGATAGATTAATTAAGCATTCTGAGAGACTCCCTGAGAAGGCCCGTGAGAAGGCCTTGAAGCCCAGCTGCATCCAACATGACCTCATGGCTTCCTGGTTGGGTTTGGGCTTAAATTAGGTAATGTTTACTTGGAGCCTTTAATGGAGACAACATTGCTAAAAGAAGCATTGTTTTAACTCTCAAGTTCCTGTATGCTTATCCTCAAGTTCAAGTTTCCTGTGTTTGCCTATGTTCCTGGGTTTGCCTTGAGAAAAGTTCTTGCTTTCATGCTTATGGATTTATGACTGAGTTTTTAGCTCTCTTCATTTCATGTGCCTTGCCATTTTTGGATTGCTACTGATTTGTAAATGGACTGCTCATGTTTTATATTTTCTTCTCTGCTGCCTTTTTTGGGAAATGCCTTTTCCCCTTTGTACATGCTTTTCTCAATAAAGTGCTGCAGTTAGGACTACTGGGCTCTGGTGTGGTGCTGGGTGAAAAGGCGTCTCAGGGATAGAGTGCAACATGGAACTGCTGAAGTTATCCAACTATAACTGAGGGTGCATCTACACCAGAGCTTTCCAAACTGTGTGTCATGACACATTAGTGTGCCAGCTGCAGTGTGTTGGTGTGTGTAAAGGAGGCACCCAATTTGTAACGATGCCACCAATTTGTAAAGATGCCACTAGTTTGTAACAGTTTGTAAAGGAGCCACCACTTTGTAAGGACTTACTACATTGATAACACAACTAATAGCTTGTAATATTGAATTGGTCTTTCTTCAGTGTGTAGCGTGGCTTAACTTTAAAGTATTTGTAACAGAGACTTGGCTTTAAAAGAAACTGTAACAAGTTTATTGAAGTATAGAAGAAGCTTGATGGTTTCAATGTATCTTAACTCTTAGAGGCACATTTCTTCAGAGGTTACGTTTAATACATTTCATAAAACAACTCTTAAGAGGACTATTCCTTCCACTAAACAGGTTTTAAACATATTTTCCTTCAAAATGTGTTTCTTTCTTTAACAGATTACTTCAGGTACAAGCTTATTCTTTCCTTATGTTATTTCTGTTGCAGTAAAGATTCTTATTAGGGTTCTCTCCCCCTTTTGCTCATACACTGACTATTAATATAAGTGTGTCACACAAACATAATGAAAATGACAAAAATCTTTGAAATATATGTATGTATATATATGTATATATGCATGTGTGTGTGCGTGTGTGTGTGTGTGCGTGTATATATATAGTATAAGATAAAGTTTTTCATAAGACATGTGTCTCCATACATTTCGTTGCCTTTCAAACTGCAAGGTTATCAGGAAATATTTAGGAATATGGATAACTAATAAAAATAATAATTTATATCAAGATAATTATGGGAAAGTATGGAGGGAGGTTAAAAAAGATCTGGATAGATGGCAAAGGATTCAACTATCCTGGTTAGGAAGGATAGCCATGCTAAAAATTATGATTTTACCGAAAATGCTGTTTCTATTTCAAAATTGACAAATATTTAAGGGAGTGAAGTTTTTTGAAAAATGGAGAAAGGAATTGGTTAAATTTATATGGAATGGTAAAAAGGCTAGAATTGCATATAGAAATCTAATAGATGCAAAAGATAGGGCAGGATTGGTGTTTCCAGATCTTAGATACTATTATGAAGCTGCAGGCTTTTGTTGGCTAAAGGACTGGATCAAATTAGAAAATCGAGCTTTACTTAGTCTACAGGGGCACAATCTGAGATTTGGTTGGCATGCCTACATATAGTATGGAAAAGAGAAGGCCAACAACGTTAATTTTATATTTAGACTTGTGGCCCATCTCCAAGATATCTCATTTTGTTCATATAAATATAGGTATTCCAAAATCCCCCCAAAAAATCCAAAACACTTTTTGTCCTGGGCATTTTGGATAAGGGATACTCAATCTGGATCATTAGTAAACTTTCCTATCACAAAAAGAAAATAGTAAAGTTAGGTGCATAAAAAGGGCAAACAGTTTATATTTTAAAAAGTAGTAAACAGATTAGAATAGGTAAGAACACATTAGAGATAGTGTCATTGAAGCAACCAAACAGTACAAGGAATGCTGACTCAGAACATTTTGCTGCCCAAGGCATGGTTGCATATCCATTCACATGTCCCTGAAATGTCAAGGCCCATAGCATATAACTCTAGGTTACTCTAGGTATTTTGGCACCTGGAACAGAAGATCTCACAACAGCATCATCCCCCTCCTTGCAGTAAAAAAATGAAAGTGTAATAAAATTAAATAACTGACCAGAAATATGCTGCCTGTTCATGGGATACATAGCAAACCCCTTTTAGCTTATAGGAATGACTGTGTGTTTTATTTAATGTTCATCATTTTATTGTTTATTTTGTTACATGACTGTATTTTGTGTTTTGTATCAATTGGGTGTATAATTAATTGTTTATTCCATTTTATGTATTTTATTGTGTTTCACTTTTTGTGTTATTTATGAAGTTTGTCTGAAATGGTGGCCACATGTCTCCACTCCATGGATAAAGTAAAATGTTGGTAATGTGAAGATATGACCAGAATTTACTTGTTTTCTTTTCTTTTGTTCTCCTCACCCTTCCTGCAGTCAGAATCTCCGCTCTTAGTGAAGCCCTATTTGCCATATGTTACAAAGTCAGAACTCCATGCTATCATGACAGCAGGGTTTGCCACCATCGCTGGAAGTGTCTTAGGGGCATATATTTCTTTTGGGGTAAGAATGAAAATACACTATTATTTTCAAACCCTCCTTTTCCTGCTCCTCCCAAAATGATAGGCTACCATATGAAATAAAACTGTTTCCCCATCAACCATAGAATTTTATAGAAAAGAAGTATTTTATCCCCAGTTTGTCTCCCAACCATTTTTTTCCTGTTTTTTTGTTCTATGAAAAATATGAAAAAACAAAGGAAGTAGCACAGATGGAAAATAATGTCTCATCTGAGAAAAGCTGTGTTTTCACTATGGACAGAAAAGCAAAAACCTGGTATTATCCAGGAATATGAAAACCCTGCAGTTATTGTTCTCATTTCCTTCCCACTAGTAATCTCATTCTACCCCATTTCAGTATTGACTAGAAGATTTGTATTTTTTTAATACAGATATTTGTAAATATTTCCCTCCTCCAAAAATATGCAATTTTGTATTCAACTTTTTTTTGATTGAAGCATTTTTGCAAATTTTTCTTCTTTTTTCTTCTTTTTATTTTTTAATTATACATTTTCAGTACATTAAAAGAATTTTGAAAATAAACACTAAAGAATGAAAAAAAAGATTACTTCTTATTATCAACGGCTATAATTGCATACCTTATTTAATCATGCTTAACTCTTTAACATATATGCAAATCATCTTTTATTACTCAAATCCTTGGAACCTCAGTGGCGCAATGGGTTAAACCCTTGTGCCAGCAAGACTGCTGATGGAAAGGTCCGTGGTTTGAATCCGGAGAGTGAGGTGAGCTCCTGTCTCAGCTCTAGCTTCCCATGCGGAGACATGAGAGAAGCTTCCCACAGCGTGGTAAAAAACATAAAAAACATAATGCCAAGTTTTTTTTAAATTTTGTTTGTGTTTTTAAATGCATTTTAACTGTACCCTCTGACACAATAAATAAATAAATCCAAACTAGTAAGTCATTTTTTCCTTTGCAAAAAGTCATAGGGGGCTTCCAGACTTTTTTAAAAAGTAACTAATGGTTTATTTCTCATCCAACAAAATGGTTTATCCATTACTGCTTATCTATCAGTTTGAACAACAATCTTTCATAATGTTTTCTCTTTACACATCCAATTACAATATTATATATAAATCGCCCCCAACTTCCTACATCAATAATGCATCATTTTAAAAGCAAAATTTCCATAACATCTGAACATGATATAAATTCAATTTAAATTTGTTACCAGTTAACCCACCCCATTCCCAGTATATATGAATTTCAGAGTCTGTGTATATTTCTTCTTTCATACAATTCTTTCATACAATTTCACCTTTCCCAACTCAAGCCAAACTCTACTAAAGATATATTGCTTCTCATTTTTCCTAGTGTGTTATGTTGGGAAAAGCCACCCCCGCCCTCAAAAAGCCAGTTCACATTTTGATGTATTGATACTTCAAATGTATGATACTTTAATTCCCAACATACCCATTGTAGCCTCTTCCAAATGTGCTAGACTACAAAAAGATTATGGATTTTGAACAATTAGGTTTGTAGTCAATCAAATCTGAAGGGCACTTTGTTGGGAAGCTCTCCTAAACAGAAATAAGCCTTAAGAGTTTCTTTTTTGTCCTTTCAAATCTCAGGTTTCAGCTACCCATTTATTAACTGCTTCTGTGATGTCAGCTCCAGCAGCTTTGGCTATTGCCAAGCTCTTTTGGCCTGAAACTGAGCAACCCCAAATAACTGTACAGCGGAGCACAAACCTTGGAAAAGGGTAATGAGATCTACGCTTGCATGGCTCAAGACTGACTGAGAACTGGAAAATCATATAAGCAGGTTTAGCTGTTACACTGGTTAATATTTAAAAACTATCTAAAAACTTGGCAAGGAAAACATGCTGCTGATTGTACATACACACACACATACATCTTTTGCAACCTCTATTGATTTGCCATTGTTACCAAAATCAGCAACACTGACATTTGTAACACAAGCGGATCATTCAGGTTTGTTGCCTTGTTCTTTTTTCTCCTTCTCTTGTAAATCTGGCCCAGAGCATCCTTGGAACAAGCATTATATGCTGAATCTGTGGCCATTGTTCAGGTGACTTGGGACTGCATAGGCCCTCTTGGGCTGCCACCTCCTCTGTGTCACCACTGTTACCAAGTTGTTCTAAATGAAGAGGTGACCAAGTCAATCTGGAAACTAAGCACATGAGGAATGGTTTTGGGAGCTGGGATTTTTGGGCCTTGCCAAGAGAAAAGATGTGACACAATAGCCATCACCAAATATTTGCAGGCATGCCATGTAGAAAATGGAACAAGCTTGTTTTCTACTTCTCCAGTAATTAGGACACAAACCAAAGGTTAGGTGAAATCCCTGCCCTTGTCATCTGATTCTGTTAGGAAAAAGTTCCTGATGTTAAAACCTACCCAACAGTGAAATGAAAAATAAAGTAACAACGAAACCAGAAACTTTTTGATTGGGACTATTAGATAAGCAAATACCGAAACACCAGGAAAGAATCTTCCTGTACATGACTACAGCAGCAAGAATTGAATATGCAAAACTATGGAAGCAACAAAGAACACCAACACCATAGTTTTGCATATTCAGTTCTTGCTGCTGTACTCATGTATAAGAAGATTCTTTCCTGGTGTTTCAGTATTTTCTTATCCAATAGTCCCAATCAAAAAGTTTCTGGTTTCATTGTTACTTTATTTGTCTGAAGTGGACAAATTAACATTAACTCTACAACAAGATAATACACAAAAGCTGCAAGAAGAATGGAAACCTTTTATGGATTTTATTTTTAAAAAAACAGAAGAAGATGACTGCAACAGGATTTGCAAACTAAAAGTATTATGAAATAATACATGTGTATAAATGATATAACTTGTGGATGTAAGAGTAAAAAATGCTTTAGAAAATTGATGAGTTAATTCTTCTGAATTAAAGTAGAAAAGTGTATAACTTCAAGAAGGTTGATACTATAGAAATATATATTTATATAAGAAGATCTATTATGTGTATATTCTACATGATAGATAATTATAATAAATACTTACATGCATATTACTAATCTAGTAACAAAAGAAATTATGTATATAGTTGGCAGTCATCAAGAGTAGAAAAATAGCATTTGAATTAGTTAATTGATAAAATAAGGAGAAGGAATACTATGCAGAGTTGGAAGAGCAGAGAAGGAAAAAAAGAGGACAATATAAAAAGATAAAAGAAGTCAATGCGAACCCTGAAGGATAATCTGTTTCTCTTGCTAGAGAAGATGTCATAATTGGATTTTTTTTCTTTTCTTTTACTTCCTTCTATACTAAATAATATGTACAATGATACTCTTTCCCCATCTATGTCTTTAACAATACAATAGACTCATGCATAGAACTATTTAACTAACACGGTTCCGTAACTTACATTCTATATCCTGTGATGTTTCCCATCCTTTCTTTCATTTTTCCCTTTTTTAATTGTTTATTTGAGTTGTTGTTGTGGTTTTTTTCTGAAAAAATCTTATTTCCAAAAAAAAGAAGAAGACAAGACAATAGCTGTGGCTGATGGTGGACAATCCAAAACGTTGAGGGAGGTAGTATGGGTCATGAATCTGAGCCAATTGCTTGTCCCGTGTCATTGGTTCAATGCAAGCCAACAGAAGACGGGCATTTGAGGAACAAGTTACATGGAGATGATAGCTTACATTGCCCACCATCACTGCCTCCACTTTCCTTTCCTTGTGTGAGCTCAAAGGGAGTACGAAAAAATAGTCTGTTGCTTGGACCATATTAGATCTCAGCCTGTGTCGGTCACACAGCTATAGACCTGATAAACCTAAATGTAGGAGCAGTTGCAATTCAAGTCGCAGATTCCTTGTATCTGTGATTTGAATTCTTTCTCTCCTGGCATTATTCAGGAGATAAAGAAAGTTTGAAGTTCTTTCAGTGCTTACAAAAACTGTGTGTGTGGCATTACAAATATTATATTATTCTCTTTGTTTTTTCTGGGTTTGATTATCCTGTTTTTTTTAATGATCTATCAAGTTTCATTCATGCATTTACTTTGCTAACCAAATAAATTCCAAATATTTCATTCCATATTTCATTCTTGTTTTCTTGGCGAAGGGACTCCCAAAATCTGTTGGAAGCAGCCAGCCAAGGTGCCTCTTCGTCCATCTTCCTGGTGGCAAACATCGCTGCGACTCTGATTGCCTTCCTTGCCGTCTTGGCTTTCTGTAATGCAGCCTTGTCCTGGCTGGGAAACATGTTTGACTATCCGCAGCTCAACTTTGAGGTACTGGCCTATAAGCTTTTAGCTGAAATGTGGCTTCTTTTTCCTCTCACACACGTCATAAATGCAACATGTCCTCTCATGCTTCAACTATACAAATAGAAAAGATGGCTTCAAAAAGGCATCAGGACAAACAATGGAGAAAACAGCTCATCGGGATAGTTTCTCCAAGAACATTCCTTTTTCTCTTTCAGATTCTATTTTAGATACAATATGTAGTGTAGTCCGTGTGGCCAAACTATCTGTCAATAATAAATAAAACACAGATCCTTCATCTTCCTTCTGATATTTCCTAATTATGGAGAACCCAGACAATCACTTCAGCTTTAAATGAAAGACGATGCATATTTTTCAATATGGCCTTAAATGTGAGCTTCGTTTATTTGCTCATTTACTAATTGCAAAAGATATTTACAAAGAAATAAAGCAAGATTTACGCAAGAGGGTTATTAATAAGTGGAGGACATTTCCTTTTCACTCTCCTCATGGCAATTAATCACCTGCATTGTTCAATCCGCCCATAACCTAACTATTGAGAGAAAGGAAGGAATTGTTTATTAATAGGGTAGGTTTCCTCTTTAAGTTAAAGCACAGGAGGCTTGCTTGTTTTATGTATGCTCAAAGAATTGTGTTGCTACCTGGGCTGCAAAACAAACTGAAGAAGTCTAGGCAATGCTAGCCAACAGAAAAGTTGGGCTAGTATTTCCACATGATATTTGTAGCCCTCCAGAGGTTATTTGACCATCGCTTTTATCAGAAATGCAAGACAGAATTTCAGCTTTAAGGCAGAAGTGCCTGGGTGAAGCAAGCAATTAGAAGTATTAAGCATCCCTCTCTAACCTCTTCTTTGCCATCTAAATTGTGCCATCTCCTGTCTTTCCAGATGCAATTCATTGGACTAATGGACTTAATGATGCTCATCAGCCTAATTGGTTGCTTTTGTAACCTAGCATTTTGGAGAGCAAATAATTTCTCTCCACTTCATTTATCATTTTGCAAACCTCTTTCATGATCCCCCAGAATGGGTAATTTGTGGCCCTCCAGATGTTAGACTGAAACTTCCATTGTCCTCTACCATTGGTTGCTATAGCTAAAGCTGAGTGAAGTTGTAGTTCAATAATACTGTACTATTTAGAGGGATGTTTTATGGCAGAGCTTTCCAAACTGTGTGTCACAATATATTAGTGTATCGGGTGCAATGTATAGGTGTGTAACAAAACATTTCTGGTTCGATGTAAAATAAGCAATAAATCATATACAGTATTTTTAAAATGAATTAAAGGTTTTTATGAGATATGTTGTGTCACCATATATTTTATTATTACAATTTATATATGTGTGTATCTCTTATAAAGGATTGGTTTAACGTCTGATTTCTGAGTAAAACTGAATTACCATGTCATGAAATGATACAGGTCTAAAAAGTGTGTCACAAAAATGAAATATCTGCTTTAGGCTAATGTTCAACTGCACATGCTGCCTCAGTGTCCAAGCACTCCTGGGTCCACTGAAAGATCTAGCAGAAAGAAAGCTTGTTAAGGAATTTGTAACTTTCTGAAATCAAAATAATAACCCTTATGACTGAGCTATTTAGCCCTGGTGCTAGATCATGGAACTAATTTCCCAAGCTTCAATTACTGCAGAACATACATCTAGATACACCTCTGCATCTCTTCTGTCCTTTTTACTTCTATAGGAAACCATTTTGAGAAATCCCAATATGTGACCTACATATTGGGAGGTCGCCACGACCATCCCAACGCGATTTGCTCTATATACCGGGTCCTAGGGAAGTGCACTTGGAAAGCACCAGACGCAGGGCCTTCTCTATTTCTGCCCCTGCCTTATGGAATTCCTTCCTCCCTATTTGAGAGCCATGCGTGACTCAGGGCATTTTATCCTAGCACTTAAGACCTGGCTTTTTACTAGAGTATTTGACCCATGTTAATTTTAATATTTGTATGTATGTGTTTTATCCTGTATAATTTCTGCTATGTAAATTGCCTGGAGCATCTCGGATGGAGGGCGATTAATAAGTAATTAAAGATGATGATGATGATGATGATTTTAATCTAATCTCACTTTCTATAGGAAACCATTTTGAGAAATCCCAATATGTGGTCTACAATTTTTCATCTAATCTCACTTTCTCTTTTTTTCAATTTTGTGCAGATAATTTGTGCCTATGTTTTCATGCCATTTTCTTTCATCATGGGAGTCGACTGGGAAGACAGTTTTATTGTCGGTGGACTTCTAGGTTATAAGACTTTCTTCAATGAATTTGTGGCTTATGAACACCTATCAAAATTGATTCAGCTAAGGAAGAAAGGAGGGGAATTGTACAGCAATGGTGTGAAACAATATTTGAGTGTGAGTATTCTTGTATAATTTTTTGATTCAAGTCCCAAGATTTATGGTCAAGTTTTGCCCTTGTTTTATGGATTTACATTTGGATTCATACTCATGTTCTGCTCTTTGTTTCCTGGATTAATGTTCATGTTTTAACCATTGTTTTCTGGATTTACTATTGCTTTTGGGACTGGCTTCCTTTATTAATTCTTGGATTTTTACTCTTTTATTTGGTTAAGATGCCTTTGGCCGTATATTTATACACACACACACACACACACACACACACACATATATTCAGTAAACTGTTTATTACCATGTTTGGGTTCTAGGTGAGTGCTGTGAGCAAGGTGAAATCCTGTTGAGGTGCAACAGAATTGTAAATTAGGAACCATTTTTTCCATTGTACATGGGTTATTAACAGTAACACCTAAGTTAAGAAAGCAAATATATCACCAATATTCCTTTGCTTCTATCATGTCCCAATACCAAATCTAAATTATGCAGTATAATCTGTAATATAGCAAGAGGTTATATTGTGTGGAGAAACGGTGCATGGAGATTTGGCACGCTTCCACACATGGCTAAAACCTTTGCCAAAACAGGTTAAAGCTTTGGCGCAGATTGTAGTCCCCAAAGAATGACTCATCAGGAGAGGGAAGAGGGAAATCCACTTCTCAGGACATTCAAAAACAACCATAAATTATCCAAAATTGCCAGGTTTCATTGAGACTAAGGGTAACATTAATGTAATTTGACACTGCTTTAACTGGCATGTTAAAATGTGTGACATTTAGTTTGGTGACGTAGAGAAGGCCAAGAATATTGCAAAATTATAACTCATTTTTCAACAGCATCAAGTCATGGCGGTTTAAGCAATATCAAACTACATTAATTGTACAATGTATATGCACTCAAAGTTAGAGAAATCTTCTTCTTTTCTTTCTTTTTTCTATTAGTTTTGCTTAACTCCTGAACTTGTTTTTCCTTCTTAAGTTCAAATGTTTGTATCATAAATAAGTCTCCGGTTTTGTGGATTTCAGGATGTTTTCAACATGACATTGACAAATGAAGTTGGAACATTTAATTAAAATTGCCCTCGAAGGTCTCTAATAAAACTAGGTACAAGTATCTCTCTCAAAGAGAGAGTACTTAGCTTCATGTCCACCTCCGCAACCTGCAACAATGAGGCTTCCTGGCTTTCAATAATTTCCTGGAAAAAATATGCCCAGTGAGGCCTTGAAATAGTTTTCTCTGTATATGCATAGAGCAAAAGAAATATCTACAAATTGCTTCTTTACAAACATGAGGGGCAGAAATGAACATCTAATCAACTCAAGTCCTAAGATGATTTTACTAAAAGCAGGGAACAGAAGGCTGTGCACAATGGAGTCTGTTGCCATAAACTAAGATGCTCTTCTTTTTTCTTTTCTTTTCTTTCTTTCTTTCTTAGACCAGAAAGGTTTGCTCAGAAGAAGGCAGTTTTTTCTTTGGACGTTGTAAAGCTGACAGCAGATAAAATTTCATTAATATATAATGTGTGGTACTCTAGTCAAAAAACATTACAGGAACTCTTCTTATGCTTAGTTATAAAGAGAAGAGATCCCAGAAGGGGCAGTTTCTTAAGTCTGATGCCTTTCATCCAGGTTTTATTGAAGGATATAAGGAGAAACGATCCCAGAAAGGGTGAATCCCCTTGTTGCCTCTTCTACCTTCTGGACAGTAAAATTGTCTGCAAGGCAAGTCAGGAATTTGTTGGACTTTGTAGTCTTCTCAAAGTTTGCTTCCAACAAATATCAGAGTAGTTGAAATCCCCCATGACTACTATATATCTTCTTTCCGCATGTTTGGTCATCTGGTCAAGGAAGGTTTCATCCAGTTCTTCCATCTAGCTTGGAGGTCTGTAGTAGAGCCCCACAACTACCTCTTTTCCAGCCCTTGTTTCCTTTATCCAAATGCTCTCAACCTGTTTTCCAGTATTGAAGTCTTGCATCTCTTCCCAGGTGTAAATATTTTTGACATATAATGCTACTCCACCTCCTCTCCTGATCTATTTATCTGAAATAATTACCTATAAAATGGGTTGCTGTAGGTTTTTTCGGGTTATATGGCCATGTTCTAGAGGCATTCTCTCCTGACGTTTCGCCTGCATCTATGGCAAGCATCCTCAGAGGTAGTGAGGTCTGTTGGAACTAGGAAAATTGGGTTTATACATCTGTGGAATGACCAGGGTAGGACAAAGAACCCTTGTCTGTTGGAGCTAGGTGGGAATGTTTCAACTGACCACCTTGATTAGCATCTGATGGCCTGGCAGTTTTTTGGTGTGGCTTGTTAGTGCCTCTGTTGTTTTGCTGTTGTAATATTAGAGATTTTTAGTACTGGTAGCCAGATTTTGTTCATTTTCATGGTTTCCTCCTTTCTGTTGAAATTGTCCACATGCTTATAGATTTCAATGGCTTCTCTGTGTAGTCATGGTGGCTGTTAGAGTGGTCCAGCATTTCTGTGTTCTCAAATAATATGCTGTGTCCAGGTTGGTTCATCAGGTGCTCTGCTACAGCTGATTTCTCTGGTTGGAGTAGTTTGCAGTGCCTTTCATGTTCCTTGATTCATGTTTGGGAGCTGCGTTTGGTAGACTTGTCCTCCACAGCTGTATGGTATATGGTAGACTCCTGCAGAAGTGAGAGGATCCCTCTTGTCCTTTGCTGAACGTAGCATTTGTTGGATTTTCTTGGTAGGTCTGTAAATAGTTTGTAGATTGTGTTTTCTCATCAGTTTCCCTATGCAGAACATTTTTCCTCTGGGTGGATCTTTGTCTTTACTCTCGTTGCTTGTTCTCAGTCTTGCAGCTCTTCTGATGTCTGAGGTGAAGTATCCATTGGTCTGTAAAGCCCAGTTTAGGTGGTTCAGTTCATCTTGGAGGAGGTGGGGTTCACAGATTCTTTTTGCACGGTCTGCCAAGGCTTTAATTGTGCTTCTTGTTTGACTTGGGTGATGGTTGGACTTTTTATGTAGATATCTATCTGTGTGTGGGGGTTTTCTGTAAACTGTGTGACCCAATTGTTGATCTGGTTTGCAGATGACTAGGACATCTAGAAAAGGCAGTTTTCCTTCATTTTCTTTTTCCATGTTGAATTGGATGTTTAGGTGGATGCTGTTAAGATGGTCCATGGCTCCAAATGGTGAAAGTGCCATCCACATATCTGAACCATATAGTGGGATTTTGTTGCTTTTTCTAGGGCTTGTTTTTCAAAGTGTTCCATGTAAAAATTTGCTATGACTGGGCTGAGAGGACTCCCCATAGCTACTCCATCTTTCTGTTCATAGAATTCATTGTCCCACTGAAAGTAGCAGGTGGTGAGGCAATGATGAAACAGATCTGTGATGTCTTCTGAGAACTTCTGGTTGACTAGTGCAATGGTGTCTGCTGCCGGAACCATGGTAAATAGAGACACCACATCAAAACTGATCAGTTTGTCATTGGTATTTAGCTTGAGATTGCCGATTTTTTTCTATGAAGTGGGCTGAGTCCTTGATGTAGTGTGTAGTGAGCCCAATATGGGTTTGTAACTGTGCAGCCAGAAATTTTGCTAAGTCATACGTGGGGGATCAAATGGCACTCACGATGGATCTGAGTGGGGTGGAGTCCTTATGGATTTTTGGGAGTCCATAAAGCCTAGGTGGAAGGGCTTTCGATTTACATAGTTGTTGGTGTAGGTCGAAGTTGATCGAGGAGTTCTTAATCAGAGTGTTGGTTTTTCTGGTTATTTTGGAAGTTGGGTCTTGTTTAAGTTTTCTGTATATAGTAGGATCCAGGAGTTTTCTGACCTTCTCCTTGTATTGTTCTGTATAAAATGTTGTTAATTGTTGGGGATGTTGAGAGATATTTAGTGATCGTTTCTCAAGCATTAGGAGAGAATGTTACTCATTACAAATTAACTTCATTCCTTTACTTTTTTTAACTATAACATCATTGCACAACTATTTACTGGAAAGTGTAACATTACCAAAACAAGGTACCTTTTTAAAAACTGTATTACTCACAATCCTTTAATTTTGCTGTAAAGTGTGCATTTATTATGCTTTTTGGCCATGTTAGCAAGAACTGCTGAATCCTATTTAATTTAATTTAATAGTAAGTTAATGTAACTGAATAAGATATTCTCTTGTGCCTGATTTTCAGATCCGGTCAGAAACCATTGCCACTTATGCCCTGTGTGGATTTGCCAACTTTGGTTCCTTAGGAGTGGTAATTAGTGCTTTGAGTAAGAACGTTATATATCCTACATGGAATATTTTATTATATATGTTTACAGTCAGCCCTCCACTTTTGCAGCTTTAACTTTTGCAGATTTTATTGTTATTTGTGGATTTCATTAATATTGTCTCTCAAGATGATTTAAGTTTATCCAATGTAACTTTACAGTTAATTTGTAGCAGGAATTGACCATAAAGTCATCCCAGAGGACGCAGAGATTCCTAAAGAGATGTTCTTTTGAGTTGAAAAATCCTAGCATTTTTAATTTATGGTTTTTCCACTTTTGTGGGGGTTCTGCATTTCTAACAGCAGCAAATATGGAGGATTCACTGTAATCCAGTAAAGAAAATTCATGCTATTATACAGAATGAAAATATCTTGTTTTCCATTCTTGATGATGGCTGGGAAGATATATAACCTTTGCCCTTAACCTTCATTACAGAGGTGCTCCAGAAATCTTTGTAGATGTCAGAGAGAAGATCTATCCTTAGTTTAAGTAGAGAGAATAGCAAAACCATGAAAAGATTTTATATAGTTGCAATGGTGAAATGAAATGTGGGGATTCCATAAGAACACATCAGCCTGGTTCTGTTTGTTTGTTTGTTTGTTTGTTTGTTTGTTTGTTTTTTGTATCAGGAGCGCCTTGCAAGTCACTTCTGGTGTGAAAGAATTGGCCATCTGCAAGGACGTTGCCCAGGAGATGCCCAGATGTTTTGATGATTTACCATCTTTTTGGGAGGCTTCTCTCATGCCCCTGCATGGGGAGCTGGAGCTGACAGAGGAAGCACATCTGTACTCTCCTCGGATTTGAACCTCTGACCTGTCAGTCTTCAGTCCTGCCAGCAGAAGGGTTTACCCATTGCGCCACTGGGGGCTCTGGCCTGGCTCTGATACCCGATATGTATTCACTGATTCTATTATTTATTACAGTTAGTCACAAGTCATTCAATTATAGAAGATAAGTCAACAAAGATAAATACATTAAAATTAATTTGTCTACTTTCAAACTCATTCGAAAGGTGCACTGACAGGTGAATTGTCAGGTGCACTGAAGATTCAAAAGATGGAGAACTTTAAAATCACAGAAGTTTAAACATTGTTTTGCAATTCCCTCATTGCTGTGGTGAAATTACAGCCAAAGATGCAATATGAAGTTGTTTATTTCTCAATCATTGCCAACTATATTCTGTGGAATTCTGTCTGAGTAGCGCAAGAGAATAAAGAATCGAAATTTTATTCCTTGGCTCTTGCATTGTCTTATCACAAAAGCAGAGCTATCCAAATGGTGGCCCAGCCGACCCATAGAAGATTTCTTTTTGTTGCTTTCTCTGCTGTTTTCAAAGGATTTAACCCATTGCCTGGTGGCACAATAGGTTAAACCCTTGTGCCAGCAGGACTGCTGACCAACAGGTCAGTAGTTCGAATCTGGGGAGAGCAAGTTGAGCTCCCTCTGTCAGCTCCAGCTCCCCATGCATGGACATGAGAGAAGCCTCTCACAAGGATGATAAAACATCAAACATCTGGGCATTCCCTGGGCAACGTCCTTGCAGATGACCAATTCTCTCATACCAGAAGTGACTTGCAGTTTCTCAAGTTGCTCCTAATGCACACACACAAAATTACAATTAAGCCCATCATAGCTTGAGTTACTTACAGAGGTTTAAGACAATTTAAAACAGTTGCAAAGATCTGAGGGATGTCTGTCTCTTAATAAGCAATGTGTGAGAGAGAGAGATAGTGTGTGTTGTTGTTGTTCTTTTGTTGTTGGTTGCTGTTTAAACATTACACATTAAAACTCCTCTTCAAATGTTTTCCTCAGCTGCCTTAGCTCCCTCCAGGAAGAAAGACATTGCCAATGGGGCCTTCCGGGCCATGGTTGCGGGCACTGTGGCCTGCTTCATGACTGCTTGCATTGCAGGTAACACAGCCTCAGACACCACACGATGGCACTGTTTTGGTTTGTCAATGTCTGTTTTCAGCACACTGGGCTCTCTGGAGTGTGATAAATATCATTATAAAAATATGTTGGTTCCATAAGATGAAAATCTGCCCCAGAAAGGCCACCTTGAGTAAGAAAAATGGCAGGGTAGGGAGGAGAACAGGCATTGTGTAGTAAAATGGCAAAATTGTGTTACATTAAGTAAAGTTTGTCATTATTTGCTTTAAATATTTCAATATTAATATCCAGCCAACAAAGTTTATGGTATAATATGTTATGGGGAATAGTATTAGTTTAATAGTAACTCTCAAGCAACCAGAAACTACATGTATCTGGCATCTTCCAGATGCAGGTTAATTGAATCTACTGTATTAGAAAACAAGGTCCTACTCATCACTTTCAAAAGTGTTATTTTTCCCCATTCACCAAAACTACACTGAATAAGGTCTCATAAAGAACAGGAAAAAATATCTGGAAGTAATGAGAATTTCAAGGTTTGATTTTGTTTTGATTTCACCTGTGTTTTTCCAAGTTTGCATCCAAAAGTTACAATTATTGCTTATAGGTTGTTTTTCTGCTCTATTTTCAGGAATATTATCTGTGGCAGTAGATCCATGCACTGCTTTATTAGAAAACATGACTACCAATAGTACAGAGATAGTTACATGTTGTTTAAAGCTCATCAACAGGTAATTATAAAAGGATATTATCTCCAATTCATAGGGATCACCTGTGAAATCAAATTGCTGCTCTTAATTGTGACAGGAATAGTATCTATCAGTTTTTCCTAACCTGGATATGCTGGCTGGGAATAATGAGATTTGTTGTGTCCCATATGCTGGGTTTGTGAAGGCTCGCATATATAGTCTCTCCTTTTATGAATATGTCAAATAGAGGTTGATAGAGATCCCACCATTGCACTGCCCTTCTTTGGTGATGGGATTCTATTCCGAGAATATCTGTAAATTTAAAACTTAACTCCAGACATTGGTAGGGAGAGACTTCTTGATTGCCGCAAGGGCCATCCACTCAACTGTTTGTACTGGCAGCTTTTGCTGAAAACAGAAGGAGTTAATTCATGTTTTCTGGCTTGAAATATATCACAGATTCATACTGCTCTGTACCATAGTGTACTTTACTGCACAAAGCAAGAACCTGAATGTAATATTTATGATTATTAATTTACTACATATTTGCTTGCTATTGATAAATAAGTTCTTGGATGTTTTACAAACTTTTGAAATAAGCATATGCCCATTTTATAAAAATCTCATAGGGCAGGGGTTTTAAACTTTCTTTTTTTGTTCCATGGACCCCTTTGTTAGTCAGGTGAAAACCATGACTGTAGCGGCAGATAATTTTATTACAGTCAACGTTGCGGTCACGCTTCAGGGTCCACTTATCTTTCTGACCACATCTCCTTTTATGAACTGGCACGGGCACTAAGATCTACCGGGAGGCTCTCCTCTTGGTCCAACCTCCATCTCAAGTGCGGTTGGTGGGGACGAGAGAGAAGGCCTTCTTGGTGGTGGCCCCCTGACTCTGGAATGCCCTCCTGAGGGAGATTAGGCTAGCCCCCACTTTCCAAGCTTTCCATATACAGCTGAAGACATGGCTATTTCAACAAGCCTTTGGCCATGTTTAGAGTCTCTTAATGTACGTACTTGAGAGCTTAGAGACTATTTCACCGCGCAGTTTATGACACTGAAATTAATTACAGTTGTTTTATATCTGCAACTATTTTTTGCTTTTTACTGATTTTAATCAGGGGTTTGTGATGTTTATGTTGGTTGTTATTGCTTCTGTGTTATGTCTTTGCATTTTTATATTTTGCATATCTGCACCTTTGAGTGTTTTGTGAGCCACCTCGAATCCCTTTGGGAGATGGTGGTGGGGTATAAGTAATCTTTTATTTATTATTTATTATATATAACATTGGCATATCACACCATAATTTGTACACATCAGGACTGTGATCATGTGTTATCTAGCATTGGGGCTAACAACACCATAATTTAAGTATGGATGAACATAAGTGATTTTTCAAAATATGCAGCAACTAATGTAATATGAAATTAATATTCCTGTAAATTTATACTACTGCATACATTCACATGTGAAGGAAATACTAGATTTCAGTCAGAGGTCAGAGGAAATAAAGATTTCAATCAAAGGTTATGGGCCCCCAGAAATCTTTCCATGGACCACCTTGCTATTATTTCCAAGCCCTATGCAGTTAGTTGAAGAAACGATTGGTTTTGTCCCAAAGCATTCTAATTAAATATGCTTCAAATTAATTTTGTTTTATTATTCAAATTTCTTTTCCCTTTTCCACCAGTGCAAACAGTTCTACAGAGATCTTCCTGAAAACAAACAGCAATGTAACCTTGACTGGATGTTGTACATTTCTGTACCAACCCACAATTAACTGCAGCTGGACAAATACATTATTTTAAACTGAGATGTTTTTTGTAAGAAACAGACCTATAAAAACTTCCTCACTGGAAGGGGTCTTAAGTGTATCTTGTGGCAAACATAATAACAAAATGGGGGGGGGGGAGAGAAAATATCCGACAAGTCATGCAGCACAGCATCCTTTATTTAAGTGTGTTGCTTTATTTAAGTGCGTTGCTTATTTAACTCACATTGCTTCTGGGAAACTATCCTCACCCAGTTGATACTTCCAAGAGCAAAATAAGCTCTTTGAAGGACTGATTTTGGCAAGGAGTTAGGTTCCTGCTCCCATTCAGCCTTCCTCTGTATTTGTTTATATTTTCATCTGTGTCTTTTTGTTCAATAATCATCATCATCTTAAAAGCTAAGAAGAAGTTGGAACTTAATGTCATATACTGTCTGGTTTTGAAACAGCAATCAAAAGGCACACGGTCTCTACAAAATGAATTTGTGATGAAACAGTGAAGAAAATAAAATATTCCATCAACTAAAACAAAGACAAATGCTAACAGTGTAGATCAGTGGTTCCTAACCTGTAGTCCATGGACCACCAATGGTCCACAAGAACTAAAATATGGCCTGCAGCCTCATCGTTGCTACACCATTACAACGAGAGTGACTGGTCTCGCAAAACCCTCTTATAGTGCCGAGGCTTATTAAATTTTGTGGACAAGCAGATGGTGACTACTGGATGGCATATGTTCTGTATTAGAAACTAGAGCTGATATGGTCTAGCCAATGCAATTTTCTGAATCAGCACCTCAAATAACCAAACCAAATCTTAAGTTGACCAAAAACTGATTCATAACCCTTTTGGTACTAAAGTTGGAGAGTGGTCCCTGGTCAGAGTGGTCCCTGGTCAAAAAAAGATTGGGAACCACTGGTGTAGATGGTATGTAAGGAGATGCGAAATAGTAACTTTCTTGTACTCTAATTGGCTATTGGCAAAGGATAGTTGGGTCTTCAGCATGATTTATCTTAGGGAAGCAAAAGGGTTTGTTGTACAGAATGAAAAGTTAAAAGTTTCAAGTTTTGAGTAAACCTCTGTCATATTCTTCATAATACTTTATCCAGTTCTAGAAACCCAAAAGATATTGCCTTCCTGAATACTTGAAATTGTCTCCTTATGCTTGGAAACATTTTCCCATAATAAACTGGGCATCATTTCTATAGTAAGAGAGACTATATTGATGGCGCAGATAATTTTAACTGACTAATAAAAGAACACATACTTCAGCACATGCATAATGCTTTCTGTAGTACATATATCATTGCTGTTTGCATTCTTGGTAAATACATGCCTATTCGGGAACTCCATGTATGTTCAAAACCCCTCCTAGGAAACAAGATTAGTCTGTGCTTGTACATTATTTATTTTCTTATGTATTTATTGATTTTGAGTTGGTGTATACTTTTTGTAAGCTAACGGCACCAGCACAGTCTAGAAAACAGGACATAATACAAATCAAAATTAACTACAATTTAAAAAGACAAACTGCACAAAATGGGCAGTTCTACCATCTAGCCTCCTAAACCAGTTTAAAATGTCTGAACTCATAGATCTGCGCTGACAGTGACTAATCTTCAGGTTATGGTGAAAGCTCTGTGAAAATGATGACACTTTAAAGTTGAACTCCATGGTTGTGGCTTTTGAGATATATTAAACAGGTGAGTAAAAGAAGACATAATAAAAAAGCACAATGAAGGTGTAAAAATTATCTGTGGAATGGAACATGTACATAGAAGAGTTTCTCTCTTGCAAGATTAGAGCCTGGGGTCACTCATTGAACTTGAATGTTGTAAGGATTCAGGACAGACAAAAGGAATTTCTTATCACATCACACAAAGTTAAACTGTCAGATTCACTGACACAAGACATAATAGTGGCTGATAATTTTGGAGGTTTCAGAAGAGGAATGGATAAAGAATGGACCATAAATGGCTGCTAAACTCCAGCCCTGTGTGTGAGCTTCCTATGAGCAACTGTTTGGTATTATATGAACAGAATCAGACACAACTAGACTTAATGTTAGGGGAACCTTTTAGCTTTACCAAGAGGACTATTTCCAAAATATTTTTTTAAAACAGAAAGAATAAGAATATGTGCTAACCTGGGCAAAAAATGTTGGAAGGGTAATTGATATTGACCAATGGGAACATATTTGGAAAGACATGGTGAGTTTTATGTGTTCTAGCAGTCTTAAAGAAAATTGTTATAAAGTCCAATATCAATGGGATTTAGCTCCACAGATGCTAGCTAAAATATATAAAACCAGGAAATACTTATGCTGGGAATGTGGCAAAGAAAAAGGTACACTCTGTCATATGTTAAGGAACTGTAAAACGTTAAGAACTATTGAAAGAACAATTAATACTATTTTACCATTAGAATTAGAATTTGTGCTGCAGTTGTATCTCCTCAACATGATAGATGTACAAATCAATAAGCCTACAAGTAGAAGAATTGTGTATGTGATTACAACAGAAAGGATAGTATTGGTAAAAAGTGGAAAATAACTGAAGTACCTTCCATCTATGATTGGCAACTGAAATTAAGATAAGTCATGGAAATTGACAAATTAACTAGAATAATGAAAGGGAGCTCTCTAAGCAAGGTGTGGAAAGAGTAGGAGAAAACAGAGAAATATTTTAAGGAAGATGTAGTCTCAGTAAACAAAAATAAGCATTGGGTATTTAAGTTCCAAGATGAAGTACTTTTGCCACATCATGAGAAGAAAGGAAAGCTTAGAGAAGACAATGATGCTGGGGAAAATGGAAAGAAAAAGGAAGAGAGGCTGACCAAGGGCAAGATGGATGGATGGTATCCTTGAAGTGACTGGATTGACCTTGAAGGAGCTGGGGGTGGTGACGACCGACAGGGAGCTCTGGCGTGGACTGGTCCATGAAGTCACGAAGAGTCGGAAATGACTGAGCGAATGAACAATAACAATTTAAGTTCCTCTTTTTACCAAATGGAGACCAGAAGACTTAAGAAGAACCTTTACCTTAAAGGGAGGGAAGGAAGTAGTGTCTTTTTATTTATTGTTGAATTGGATTATGTTACATTTTCTTGGTTTTTGTGTGTATTTTCTTCTTTGTATCTTATGGTTTTGTATGTTTTTCTTTCTTTCCTTCTAAAAATAAATTAAAATAGTACAAAAGAGGAAGTTCTTCCTAATGTTTAGGTGGAATCTTTTTTCTTGCAATTTGAATCCATTGCTCTGTGTTCTAGTCTCCAGAGTAGCATAAAATAAGTTTCCCCCCTGCTACTTTGAAATATTTAAACATGGCTATCATGTCCCCTCTCAGTCTTCTTTTTCCTCAAGCTAAACCTATACTTCATAACACTTGGTTTCCAATTTTTGGTCATTTTGGTCACCCTTCTCTGGACACGTTCTTGCTTGCCAAGTGTCCATAATTAATTTATTTATTATTTATTTATTATTTATTATTTACTTTGCTTATATACCGCTGTATCTCAAGCCCGAAGGCGACTCACAGCGGTTCACAAACAGTAAAAACAGTAGAAACAGCAGTGGTTCCATACAACATATAACAATTGACTTAACACATTATCCATAAATTATCAATAAGCAATTACAATGCACAATTATTATGAAAAACAACTGTACCCAATATTCTCATCATCCAAGCGTAGTCCAGGTTCGTCGTCCATTGTTCCATTCCTATATTCCATTACCAGATTGCACTAAATTACTCAAACGCCTGCACAAACATCCAGGTCTTCACCTTTTTGCGGAATACCATTAGAGATGGTGCTAGTCTAATGTCCGTAGGAAGGGCGTTCCACAGCCGAGGAGCCACCACCGAGAAGGCCCTATCTCTCGTCCCCGCCAGCCGAGCTTGAGAAGCAGGCGGGATCGAGAGCAGGGTCTCCCTGGAAGATCTCAAAGTCCTGGTGGGTTCATAGGCAGAGATGCGGTCAGATAGGTAATTGGGCACAATATTCCAAGTGAGGTCTGACCAAAGGAGAATGGAGTTGGACTATGACTACCCTTGATCCAGACACTATACACCTATTGATGTAGCCTAGAATTGCATTGGTGTTCTTAGCTGCTGCATCACACTGTTGACTCATGGTTAGCTTGTGGTCTACTAAAAGACTCCTAGATTCCTTTCACATTGAGTGTTTTCTAGCCAGGTGTCAATCATCCTATATCTATGCATTTCCTCAGGCCCGTAGCCAGGATTTCGTTTCGGGGGGGGGGGGGGGCTAAAAAAATTTTCAGGGGGGGTTGGGGGGGCTGAGTTTCGGGGGGGGGGGGTGAGTCTGAGTGAAAGAGGGTCTAGCCTAGCAAACCTTTTGTATCATTACCCCAATACCCCCATGCATATGGGATATATTGAGTATGGTGATCAGATCATGATATGAATAAACATAACAGTTTAAATAATGCACCAGTAAGGCCTTTTCACGAACCACCATGAGAATTTCGGGGGGGGGGGGCTGAAGCCCCTCAAGCCCCCCCCCCCCCCCCCGGCTACATGCCTGCATTTCCTTGTTATTGCCAAAGTGTAGTACTGTACATTTCTCCCTGTTTAAATTCATTTTGTTTGTTTTGGCCCAGCTCTTTAATCTATAAAGGTCATTTTGGTTTCTGATCTTGTCCTCTAGGGACAAATCTCTCCCAATTTGGTGTCATCTGCAAATTTGATAAGCATGTCTTCTCTTCTGTTGTCCAACTTTTTTTCTTTTGTTTGACCTAGCACTTACGTTTTTAATAGCGGAAACAAAAGACCCTCAAGATATGTACTCACTGCAAGCAGCATGTGGAATTGGGCCAGGTGTGGTGGAAGACTAAAGCTACAGACTCTGGGACTTTGGTTATATCAGGCTGTCCCTAGCAGCTGATGGGGCATTTCTGGGTTAAATTTGCTTTCCTTGAGTGCAGCTCCTTGGGTTGGCGAGAGTCAGGTTTAAACCCTCCTTTGTGGCAGTTGGCACAAGTCTTGGATCCAGGATAGAAGACCAAGTGTAGGTGGGCACTGTTAAATACCAAGGTTCCCATGGTGGAACCAATGTGGGGTGCAGATTGGAAGGGTCCTGCCCAGGCAGAGGCAGACACAAACTACACCAGGAACCTCTGGACTGAGACGGATCACAGTTGGGGTGGATCAGCAGATTGTCTCAGGTAGTCATGATGGATAACCTGTGCTGGACCAGTTATCAGACAACAGTGGCTGGCGGGTTGGCTGGCCAGGGACAGGACCCAGACCCATTGGGGGCCAATCCTTGTGAGCTGTAAGCAAATAAACTGTGACCTTTTATTTTGTAAAATAAAAAAATGACCTTTTCAAATAACCTGAGCATCATTGGGTACCCAAGTTAACTAAATAATAAAAATAAAGACGCAACTTCAGTATCTTGCCTAGACTTCCTTCCCTCTGAGCTAGAGGTTCTTGCCAACATGCAGTATTTTATTTAAAGCCATGCTGGTTTGGAGTTTTTGTTCAAATACTAATTCTCCATGTGCAGAATAAATTACTGCATATTTATTTATTTATTTATTTATTGACTTTATTTGTATACCACTGTTCTCAGCCCTTAGGCGACTCACAGCGGTTAACAACAGAACAGCAAAAATTTGATACTACAATAACACGGTATAAAAACAGTTAACATCATAACACCTTATACAATAATATACATGTTTATCTAAAGAAGATTTATTTAATTCTATGAAAAAAATTATTTCTCACTGTGCTGTAGTCAAACTAAAGGGAACTCTAATAGTGTCATGGGATTCCTAAATATCAGGGTGAACATACAGTGTTTTACTGTTTGGTGGTCTTTACATTTTCTCTTGAAGTACTTTGAGCAGATCACCCCATCCAGATTTTTATTAAGAAAGAAGCACTAGGTGGCAGGATTTTACAACAATTATACCTTAGGAAGAAGGTAGAAGTTTGCTTTCTGTATAGGAAGACCTGCTTGCGATTTTGACCCAGAGAATGTCATCTGTATTTTTCAGAACTTATGAAAATTAACCCTTTGAAATTTAACATTCACAATAGGAAACTGTAAAAGAAACATCCCATTCGTGATGATGATGCAAAACTTGGAAAGTGATTATTTTTTTAAAAAAGGAATCAGTCAGTCACAGTCATTTTTCTGAAACTGCCATTAAGTTGACTTCAATTTATGGCATCCCATGAATGAGAGACCTCCTTCACAGATGTTACAGACTCAGGGGTATAATGCAGTCTTCTTAATTTCTACTACCTTCCACCTCCCCAAAGGGTGTGTGTGTGTGTGTGTGTGAATACTAGAGAGTCATGTTTTCTCCTGATATGTACAAAGTACCACCATCTCAGCTTAATCATCTTGGCTTCTCGGGAGAGTTAAGGCTTGAGTCCCTAGAAGCCAAGATGACTTTGTCTTTTCTTTTTTTTTTGTCTTCAGTCCACATGATCTGTAGGCCTTTCCTCCAGTACCACATTTCAAATGAATTGACTTTCTTCCTATCAGGTTTCTTCATTCTCTAGCTTTCACAGTCATACATAGGAACTGGAAACATGATGGAATGGACAAACTTAAATTTAGTGTTCAATGCTAAATTTAATACTTCAGAATCTCGTGTAGTTCCTTTATAGCTGCACTTCCGATTCTTATTCTCATTAATCATTGACATAGAAAATCCTCCACTGTTTCAATGTTGTCCTCTTGTATTTCAGCATTTCCTAACCTTTCATCCTTGGAACCCCAGGAGGCCACAATATTCTTACAGGAAATTCACCAAGTCTCTTACAGTTAAAAAACATTACATGAAAGGAAGTAAATCAAACGTTCTCCCCTCCACCCCAACCATTGTTTGTGGTGGCATTTCCATGGCACTAGCACTGAGATTATTGTGCAGGAGGTGTGCTCAGTGGGCATCCTATGGTTGTTGAGGCATAGCGGAGCTGGTGAACTGGAGCTGTTGAGATGGGCAAACTGTGGCCTGATTAGCAGCTGATGTTGATGTGGATGCTAATGCAGAGACAAGGGAATGGGCATGGTCTGGTGGGGTGGAGAAGAGTAGTAGCATTAAACGGAGCCTGGTTGTCAATTGTGGTCACTCCTCAGAGCACTGAACTGCCCAATATCAACTCTAACAATGTGCCTCCACATCACTGCCTGGCTTGAGGTCAACTGCGAGTCTGTCTGTCTTGAAAAGACAGAAATCAAATGCTAGGGTGCCATAATCCCATTGTCTTCCAACACAGCTGATTTGGGGGTGCTGGAAATAGAAGTTCAGAAATGTAACTTTTCTGAGCTTTGCTTTTGGTCCTAAGCATTTGCATATTTCTCCATTCTCTCCAAATTTGAAGATCCTTGATGAGCAATGTTAGACACATATCTGATGCCCTTAAGGGTTTTAAATAATGCTGTCTTGGTCATCCACAGCTACAAAAGTTATTGAGGGTAAATAAAAGATTAGGAATCATTGGTCATTATTTTCTTTTCTTAATGTTCAATGTGAAACCTTCCTTTGCATTTTCTTTTTTTACTTTCTTCAAGAATCTTCGAAACTGGAAGAACTTCCTTCCTCCAGTTTACAGGCCATGGTGTTCTTGACTAAATCTAATCTGATTCACGCATGATATGTTCAGCATACATATTAAGCAGATTGATAAATACAGCCTTGCTTGACCTCCTTGCCAATTGGAAACCTTTCAACTTCTCTGTATTTTACCCTGAAAATAGCCTCTTGTCCTGAATACAGATTATGAATCAGGGCACCCAGGTGTTGTGACACACCCATTTCCTGCGGCATGATCCAAAGTTTTCCATGATCTACTTAATGAAAGATTTTGCTACCTGTAAAGTGCAGGCTACTTTTCTTTGAAATTCTTTGCTTTCTTCCCATTGCTATCCAAAACTTGCATACACACACACACACACACACACATATAAAGTTTGGATAGCAAAGGGAAATTCACTCCTGAAAGATTAACACTCCTGTGTTTGTTTTTTGCATCTCTGCCCCTGTTCAGATTTCACCTCATTTTCTGTCCCTGCCCCTGTTTTGAAAAAAATTGGCTTGTTGTAGAAACTAGGATCAATGAGAAAGCTTCAGCTCAGGCACCTTTTCCCCAGGATAACTCTTTCAGGAGTGAATTTCACTCCTGAGTTTTGAGCAT